TATTTCAGTGGATAGCTCTCATGGAGAAGGATTTTTAAAAGAACTAGAAGCAGAATGATGATGGCATTCTTAGTGCCCCAGTATGCTGTCCACGTTTATATATTTTATCGCATTTAGCCTTCACAGTGGTTTTGTGGGGTGGGCATTGCTAGATGATTTTACCTACAAGAAAACGTAGATTTAGAGAGTAAGGGACTTGCCCAGAGGGCTGAAATTTGAATCGGGAGTCCTTAAATTCCGTGGTGGTCACCCTTCCCACCTAGTCCCTGTTCCTCTTTCCTACGTGTGAGGGCTTCTGTCCTCATTCCTTAGTGCCTTGCATCTTGTGATCTTGCACTACTGTAAGAAAAGAGAAAATAAAAATGGGAACAATCCATATATTTTCATCGCTGAAAAAACAAAACAAAACCCATATAGTTTCAGATTTTCCTAAATATTTTCCTCCCAAAATTTAGGAAAAACATTATTATGCTGCCATCTTCTGGATCTTTTGAAATCTAACACATCAACAATGATACAGACCATTTAAAACCAGTTCTGTCCCGCTCTTTCTAATCTAGGGCTGACATACTAAACTGTGTATAATTAAAAGTATTTAGTTAATTGGAAAATTCTTTAAAAACTTAATACCTATCAAATAGGAAGTCTAAAGCTATATGTATTTATATATATAAATCTCAAAATATAAGTTATTTTTCTTTATAGGGGATGGAGACAAACATACACAGTAAAAATTTACAAGTAATTCAGCAGCCATTAATTTCAACCTCATCCAATGATAGTTTTTAAGATTAATGTTAATAGAGGTGGTGGGTAAAAAAGCTATTCATTGCTGGTGGGAGTATAAATTATTATAGTCCTCTGGGAAGGCAATTTGACTACATATATAAGAAATAAAGATAAAACACGTGTAACTCTTGGCCCAGCAAACTTACTTTATGAATTAATCCTACATATATTCTTTTTTTTTTTAAAGATTTTATTTATTTATATGACAGAGAGACACAGCGAGAGAGGGAACACAAGCAGGGGGAGTGGGAGAGGGAGAAGCAGGCTTCCCGCGGAGCAGGGAGCCCGATGCGGGGCTCGATCCCAGGACCCTGAGCCGAAGACAGACGCATAACGACTGAGCCACCCAGGTGCCCCTAATCCTACATATATTCTTATTGATATATGCAAAGATGTATATATGTGAAGAATGTACAATCTCACATTGTTTATAAAGGACTAGAAAAACCCAGAATACTTAAGCAAATGTGTTACTACACCTGTATGTAATTCTGTGAAGTTGGTTGAAAATAATGTTGTAGTTGTTAATATGCTGGTAATAATAACTGATCTTGTAAGATTTTTTTTAAAAAGACGTTTTTAAAAAATACTTTGGCCCAGAACTGGAAATGCAGTTTTGCATGCTATGCTATGCAAAATAAGTACCCTTTCCTATTTTTTTTTTTTTTACCAGCAGACATTTATGTAGTAGAATCTACATTTGATTTCTGTCACTAGAAGAATGATACACTCAGATTTTTAAGAATGGAACATGAGGCAGTAAAGTATAATCTTAGCTTCATAATCTGATACTATAAATAAGATAAAAATGATTTGAGTGTAAGTTATATTGTGTGGTTTTTACTCAAGAAAAATTTAAATTAACAGGAAGAAAACTTTGGTGCTCTGTGAAATCCGTACCATGAGGCTAAATTTATAGTGCAATGTCTTTTTACTTACTCATTATTTAATAATAAAATATTAGAGTAATCATGACTGATATTTATTGAGTTTTTTCTATGTGCTGAGTGCTGTTCTAAGTGCTTAGCATTGGAGATGTCGGTTGACTCCTCCAGGACTCTGGAAAGACAGTGTAAAGATAATATTCCTTCTTATTTAATAAAATTGAGAGTAAGGGAAGCTGAGTGACTTGCAAAGATCACACAACCAGCAAAGGGTCAAATCAGGAATTGAGTCTAAATACTTTGAATTCCTATGCAGTGTTCTTTCTGTTATACCCAAAAGGGTCAAAGGGAAAAAATCAGTGCAAATGTCTGTACCGAAATGTTTCATAACATGTAAGACGTGCTAGGCCCGCTGCTAGGCTCATCGTAAGTACTCAGAAAATACTGACCATAATTCTTCTTGTTGTTATTATTATGCTAAAAGGAAACAAGCCTAGGTATTTTTCTGAATGACACTGACAAGCATCCTTTCCCCACAACTCTTCCACTGAAAAGTCTCAATTGCATTGTAATGTTTTCATACTAGTATGCAGCGTAAGACCCCTGAGGGCAGGTGTTTGGTCTGTTCTGTTTACTGCTACACCCTGACGCCTAGGTCACAGCTCAGACTCAAATGCTCAGCAAGTATTTAGTAAATAGATTGGGAAACTGGAAGTTTTTCTTGTTCTTCTTTTCTTTTCTTTTTTTTTGACTGTGACATCGTTGGCCTACTATTGGTCTGCCATTCTGTATAATTTTTTTTTTAAGATTTTATTTATTCATTTGCGAGAGAGACAGAGAGAGAACAAGCAGGGGGAGAGGCAGAGGGAGAGGGAGAAGCAGACTCCCTGCTGAGCAAGGAGCCTGATGCGGAACTCGATCCCAGGACCCTGGGATCATGACCTGAGCCGAAGGCAGAAGCTTAACCATCTGAGCCACCCAGGCGCCCTGCCATTCTGTATAATTTGTATGCTTTAGAGTAATGCTTCTCAAGTCTTAGTGGTTATGAAACTTCCTTGTCCAACATATAGATACCAGAAAAAAAGTAGATCCCTAGAAAACTTCATTAAATATTTGTATACCTTGATGAATACACCTCCACCCAGGGTTTGGTTTGGGCCTCAAGACTGATGATGCCATGCACACATCAAAAGGGTATAAAAATACATAAAGAAGTTTCTGGGGATAAGATATCCCCTGGGTAGGCTTCCCAGCTGGCCCGAGAATGGTGTGAGAACAGGGAGAGGGGCTGGCTTGATGTTTTATTGTGATTTGGGTGTGAGACTGGGGTCTCTTCCAGGAAGCTGCACACATCACTTTTGCTGGCATCCTTGGCCAGAGCTTAGCATCATGTCCTCGCCTAACTGCAAGGGAGATTATAAAATGTAGTCTTCACATCATCATGTGCCCAGTTCAACATCAGAGTTCCATTACTGCATAAAAAGGGAAGAATGAACATCAGGGGACCAAAACACTCTTGGATCCAGTTACTGAATGACATTAGGTGGAATAACATTAATTATTTCAAGTCTTCTGTGTATAGTTTGCTACTTTTATAATTTCTAGTTAGTGTTCCAAAGGTTGCTATTTTGTAACTTATTTATGGGTTTTAATATGTTCCATAGCATACTAGGTAGGCTGGGGAGATGAAGTTTAATGGAACAGAAAAGGGGGAAGGTGCTTGGGTGGCTTAGCTGGTTAAGCCCCTGACTCTTGATTTCAGCTCAGATTAATGATCTCAGGTTTGTGAGATTGAGCCCCGTGTCAGGCTCGGTGTTGAGCAATGGGGCCTGCTTAAGATTTTCTTTTTCCCTGTGCTCCTCCTTCCTCCCCCCGCCCCCCCAAATAAAGAAAACTAAGATTTATTTCTGGCAATATGCCAGGTACCTGATTGGAGACTTTCATATATATTTTCTCATTTGGACAAGGCAAGAGAGACAAGCAGAAAGAATTATTTCATTCAGGGCCAATCATTGGCAAAATGGTAAAGAAGGCAGTTTTTTTTTTTTTTTTTCCATAACTCAGGTTTTCACTTTCAATAGGTCTTTTCTAAAACGTGTTTTTTTTTTTTCCCCAAGATTTTATTTATTTGTCAGAGAGGTAGAGAGAGAGGGAGAGAGCGAGCACAAGTAGGGGGAGTGGCAGGCAGAGGGAGAAGCAGGCTTCCTGCTGAGCAGGGAGCCCGATGCAGGACTCGATCCCAGGACCCTGGGATCATGTCCCGAGCCGAAGGCAGATGCTTAACCGACTGAGCCACCCGGTGTCCCTCTAAAACGTGTTCTGTGTGTCTATTCTTTTACAGCAAAATATCCAACATAGAACATAACTGAAAATACTCTGCTGTGCAAAATGGTATGTAGGACTTAAGTACAAGTGGAAACGTCATTTGTCCAAATAAATACTTAGACATAATCTGGGGTCTTATAAAATAGTATTTCAATTAGATGGTTTCTAAATCTGATTGGTTGAGTTGCCTGATCTCTGGACCCCAAATAACAGTCGTTCTTTCCCTGCCCAAACTGAAATAACCAAAATGTGGGAGCATCAGGGCCGGTGGTTGGTGTGATTGCACTTGGTTCCTTTTCCTAAACTTTTCCCTTCCATCATACAAAAATGAGTTGACTTGGGTAAAAGACAATAGAATTTTCTCAAAGGAGAGTGGTTCATATGGTAAATATGGTGAGTATTCTACACGAATCCCTTGGTTCCTATTTCTAGTGAGATTGCAACCAGATGACTTTCTTTGATTTATTATACAGAACAAAAACAAGGGCTCTGTGATATTGTGATTCATAATAAGAAATTTATATTTGGTCTTCTTCCCCTTTCTGGCACGGAGATCCTAAAACTCTTAGAATGTTCCTGTGATGAAAGCCATAAAAGTATGTCTTGTTATGTCAATGCAATGACTTTTAGACAGCACCTAAGTGTCAGGGCTGATTGCCAGGCGAACCAACCATGTGATTAGAGGGTTGGAACTTTCAGTCCCACCCCCTGACCTCTAGGGAGGAGAGTGGGACTAGAGGTTGAATCAATGGCCAGTAATGTAATCAATCATGACTATGTAATGAAGTCTTTATAAAAACCCAAAAAAGGGACTCCTGGGTGGCTCAGTCGTTAAGCGTCTGCCTTCAACTTGGGTCGTGATCCCAGGGTCCTGGGATCGAGCCCCGCATCAGGCTCCCTGCTCCGCGGGAAGCCTGCTTCTCCCTCTCCCACTCCCCCTGCTTGTGTTCCCTCTCTCGATGTGTCTCTTTCTGTCAAACAAATAAATAAAATCTTAAAACAAACAAACAAACAAACAAAAACAAAAACCCCAAAACACCGGGTTTGGAGAGTTTCCTGGTTGGTGAACAGGTGGAGGTGCTGGAAGAGGGCATAGAAACTCTGCATCCTTTCCTCATGCCCTGTCCTAGGTATCTCTTCTATCTGGCTCTTCCTGAGTTATATACGCTTTTATGATAAATTGCTGATCTGGTAAGTAAGATGTTTCTTTGAGTTCTGTGAGCCTCTCTAGCAAATTAACTGAACCTGAGTAGGCGGTCATACGAACCTTTCACTTATAACCAGTCAGTCATAAATATAGGGAAAAACCTGGACGTGAGGTTGGCATCCCCGGTTGGAGGGGGGCTCCTTAGAACCTCCAATTTTTAGTCGGTTGGTCAGAATGCAGGTAACAGCCAGGGTTTGCAACTGGAAGCTAGAGTGGTGTGGGGGTGGGGGCAGTCTGGTAGGACCGAGTCCTCAACCTGTGGAATCTGGAGCGATCTCCTGGTAGACAGTGTCAGAATTGAGTTGAATCCTTGGACACCTTACTTGTGTCCTAGAATTGCTTGGTGTTGTATGGAAAGACTCCCCCAGCCCCATTTTCAAGTTGAGTCTCAGAACACTGGAAGGGGCTCCATCCAGCCCTTGAGAATGCTGGATCATGCACCTGGAGAAAGGCTCTTCCACCTGAGGGTTTGGCAATCCTCCAGCATTCGAGGCGCCCAGGGTACGTGACGTCAGCTCCTTTGTGTTCACGCTGCAAAGCCAGCCACCGGCTCACAGTGTTGCAGGCATAGGAAACCGCCTTGGCTTTTCAATTCGGCTTGCTTGGCAGATTTTCTAACATCAGCTGCCGGACTGGGAAAATCTGCTGGGTAGATGAAAGAGAGTGAAAGCTGTAGCTGCTCCACGAGAGGCCGTATTACCAGCAAACTCCCTCTGGTGCTATGTGTGCTTGCCTCTTCTTCCTAAGAACACCTCCTTGTAGTTACCCTGAAAGGCAAAGAGCAGGGCTGGAGCAAGAAATGTCTGTTGACACTTGTCAGAGTGGCCTTCCAGAAGGAGAACACCTCTTGCCCTTTGGGAAGATGGAATATATAATCCACTGTGCCTTCGTCCAAGGAGTCAGCAGCAACCTGTTGGCTCACACGTGGCATCCGCCATAGCAGCTTCACCCACTCGCTGGGCCACTGCAGTCGTGGAGATGGCAGTGGTGATGCTGTCGTCAAGAAGCAGCTGACTTGCCGAGTCCCGGCAGCAGAATGGGCTGGAGGGGGAGGTGAGGCCAGAGTGGGAGCTTTGAGAGCCGGGAGTGTTGGTATCGGCTGGCTTGGCCCTGCCACTGCCGAGACGGAAACACTAAGGTGTTGCTTGATTTCTTTCTTAGGTTTTTCCTTGCCTTTCTTTTTTCTTTTCCCTTTCAAGTAGGACTCTTTAGTGGCCCAGCCCGGAGAAGGATTATTTGAAGCAAAGAATAAATTGTTGTTGTTGTTTTTTTAAGATTTTATTTATTTACTTGACAGAGAAAGACATAGCAAGAGCAGGAACACAAGCAGGGGGAGTGGGAGAGGGAGAAGCAGGCTTCCCGTGGAGCAGGGAGCCCGATGCGGGACTCGATCCCAGGACCCTGGGACCATGACCTGAGCCGAAGGCAGACGCTTAATGACTGAGCCACCCAGGCGCCCAAGAATAAATTGTTAAAGCTAAATTTTAGGCTTCATGACGGATAAATATTTGGATAAAAGGTATCTGGAAAGTATACCCTGAATAAGTGCGTGAAAATCGGCATGGGGGATTTTTTCATTGAAAGAGAAGCGAAAAAAGAGAGGGCAGAAGACAGAGGCTGGGGCACCTGGAAAAGTCTTTGCAACGTGCTAGGGTTGCTGCTAACTCAGGAGAAACACTGCTTTACTGTACTGAATCTATCCTAGAAACAACAGGCTCAATAGCTCCTTTCATTACCTGGGAGCGTAATTCATCCCTGGCATTCTTTCTGCATGTTTTGAAGGCTGTTCTCAGATGGAATATAAAATGCTTTAGAAACCAATTTTAGTAATTGGCAGCATCATATTTTTTATATTCTTGCTGAAGGGACTTAGGGTGAACAGTGGGTCAATTTTATCTTTTTTTTTTTTTTTTTTTAGCCAAAAGGGCACATCACTCAGCAGAATACTTAGTGGCTATGAGAGTGAAAACCAGTTCCCCCAGCATAAGGTGTGAGCAACATATTGGATTAGAAAGCATAATATGCTTTCTTTCATGAAATAGGCCTAATCAATATACTTTTTATACTTTATCAGGATCATTCATCAATTATTATTTATTTTTTTTTAAAGATTTTATTTATTTTTTTGACAGAGAGAGACACAGTGAGAGCAGGAACACAAGTAGGGGGAGTGGGAGAGGGAGAAGCAGGCTTCCCGCGGAGCAGGGAGCCCGATGTGGGACTCGATCCCAGGACCCTGGGATCATGACCTGAGCCGAAGGCAGACGCTTAACGACTGAGCCACCCAGGCGCCCCTCATTCATCAATTATTGATGAAACACTAGGCAAAGCTTTTCTTGAGAGCGTTAGAAACTCTGGCTGGAGTTGCAGCCCTGGGATCTGGGATTGTATCTGTGAATGTTATTCTGCAAAATACCCTGAGCACTCACTATGGGCCCAAATGAAGAGTGTCACTGGGTCTCAGAAATGCACTTGTTTGGGGAAACATTTAAATATCTCTGCTGGAACGAGGGTCACATAATCATTCCATCACGCAATGCTTACTTGTAAAGGGAATGGGGATGCAGTCTCACTGAGTGCAGGGTTGTTTCCAAGCAGAGTTTTTAAGGATAAGGAAGGCTGGCTCCTTAGGTTCTTACCGTGAGTAGACAGGATGGGATCTGGGCAACAAGGGGAAGAATTGGCCTCAGTTAGGAGCACAGAGAGTTCACCTGTGGTAGCAGAGGGGAAGGCAGAGAATTGGAGCACGGATGCTGGTGGGCATATACAATGGGAGCGTGTGGAAGTCCTCTTATAATGCATTCCGTTTCATTAATGAAATAAGAAAGGTGTGGGTTAAGAATGAGTGTGAGGCAGTAGATATCAGAGGTATGGTATGAGGGAAAAATTAAGTATGAAGTACTTATCTGCAAGTGTTCCCATGTAAGAAGTCTTGGATTCTTTTTAGTCTAGGTTACACTCACCAACTTTCCCCGTTGCACCCACTACCTATCCCTAGCATCCTGATTATCAATATTAACTAGAAGCCAGTGAAGAAAGATTGAATGTCAAACTTGACAAGATGCGTGAGAGAGGAATGTCATAGGGGACGGACATGCAAGACAAAGAATGGTTAAGCCCAGGATCGATTCTTCCAAGCCCTCAGGGGCTGAGAGAGAGCTCTGTTTCTGTCACTTAAAATTACTCATTTTCATGTTTACCCCAGTGCCTCAGAAGACACCAGTTTAGTTCCAGGGGTGAAAGTTGGGGCAGAGGCACTTTTTCTGGATAGACTGAGTACTGTAAACCAATTTTCTCTGACAGGCATTGCGGGGAATCTGGAGATCAAAAAGACTCGGTGTGGGGCACCTGGGTGGCTCAGTCGGTTAAGCGACTGCCTTCGGCTCAGGTCATGGTCCTGGAGTCCCGGGATCGAGTCCCGCATCGGCCTCCCTGCTCGGCGGGGAGTCTGCTTCTCCCTCTGACCCTCCTCCCTCTCACGCTCTCTGTCTCTCATTCTCTCTCTCGCAAATAAATAAATAAAATCTTAAAAAAAAAAAAAAAGACTCGGTGTGAGTCCAAAGTTACCTTCCTTCTCTTCAGAGCTTCTGATTCTACGTGAGGTAGAGTATCAGCTACTGAGTTAGGAGTATAAAGAACAAATACATTGTAACCAGAGGGGACACAGTGTACATTTGTTCCCTGGGAGTAGTGGAAGCTCTCAGTGAAATGGAGAACAAGGTTATTACCAGAGACAGGAGTTAAGTTCATAGGAGAAGTTTAAAAAGGGAAGTGTGAAATAGTCATACGGAACAACTGAATGGACTAGGCAGAGTAGTGTGATTACCACTTAAAGAACCACCTGAGGCTCATGGTCATGAATTTAAAGTAAGACCAGTCAGAGCGTACAGGAAGAGAAGTGGACTGGATTTAACCAGGTTTGTGATTTTGATAAATAAATAAATAAGTACACACACATACACATACACACACACACGCTAGGGATCGATGATGGGATGAGATGGGGAGAATTGACTAGGGGAGCTTCAATCAAAAGAATGCAAGAATTCTTACACTGAGGCGCTTGTGGATAACTACTTCATCCTTTTCCTCTCTTCTCATGCATTCAATCTCCCTCTTTTTCCCCCTCTCTCTCTTCACACATACACACACACACACAGTTTAAATATATAAATTATATGTAATAAAGAGGGGAAATAAAAGCATAAATTTGTATTTTCCTATATTTGCATAAAAGAAACCCCAGAAAGATATACTAAAACTAATACAAATGGTTACTTACCCAAATGCTTACTAATAGGAGGGTAGGGGGACAGAGATGGAGTCCTTCCAGTCCTTCAAAAATTCTTCCCAAAAATAGTAGAGGGCAGAATATGTTCCAACTTACACTATGAGGCTAGTATTACCCTGATATAGAATCTAGAGATAGACATCACAGGAAAACTACAGACTAATATCTCTTATTGTTATAGCCACAAAATTTCTCAAGGAAAAACTAGCAAACTAAATCTGGCAGCACATAAAAAGGGTTACATACCATGGCTAAATGGAGATTTATTCCAGGAATGCAAGACTGGTTCAACATACGAACATTAATCATTGTAATACACTTTATTAAAAGAATAAAGGACATAACCCATACAATCATCTTAAGATGCAGAAAAAGCTTTTGACAAAATCCAATGCCCTCTCATGATATAAACACTTAACAAAATAGGAGTAGAAGAGAACTTTCTCAACATTTATGAAAAACCACATTATAAAAAACATTTATGAAAAACCCATAGCTGCCGTCACACTTTTCCATTATTATTATATTTGTTATGGTGTTCTGCGCTCGGTGATTACAGATTGCTGAAAGCTCGGATGATGGTTAGCATTTTTAGTAATAAAGCATTTTTTTTTTAAAGATTTTATTTATTTATTTGACAGAGAGAGACACAGCAAGAGAGGGAATACAAGCAGGGGGAATGGGAGAGGGAGAAGCAGGCTTCCCGCGGAGCAGGGAGCCCGATGCGGGGCTCGATCCCAGGACCCTGGGATCATGACCTGAGCCGAAGGCAGACGCTTAACGACTGAGCCACCCAGGCGCCCCAGTAATAAAGCATTTTTTAAACATTTTTTATTGTTATGTTAATCCCCATACATTACATCATTAGTTTTAGATGTAGTGTTCCATGATTCATTGTTTGTGCATAACACCCAGTAATAAAGTATTTTGAAATTAAGGTGCGCACATTGTGTTTTTAAACTTTATGCTGTTGCACATTTAATAGACTACAGTATAGTGTAAATTAACTTTTATATGCACTGGGAAACCAAAAACTTTATTTGATTCACTTTATTGTGATATTTACTCTATTGCAGTGGCCTGGAACCGAACCCACAATATCTCTGAGGTACGTCTGTATATTCTCAAGAAAAAAAAAATGAAGTGGTATATATACAAAATATTATTGATATATATCCACAGACTATTGTATATTCTGGTACATCCATAGAATACTATTTAGCCATAAAAGGAATGAAGTACTGATACATGGGCTACAAAATGGATAAACCTTGAAAACATTATGCTAAGTAAGAAGTCAGACACAAAAAGGCACATATTAGTGATTTTATTTGTATGAAATATCCAGAAGAGGCACATCGATAGAGCCAGAAAGTAGATTAGTGGTTTCCAGGAGCTAGAGGTTGTGGGCAATGGGGAGTGACTGCTAATGGATATGGGATTTCTTTTGGGAATGATGGAAATATTCCGGAATTAGATAGTGGTGATGGCTTCTCATCCACGTGAATATTTTTTAAACCACTAAGTTATGCACTTTAGAAGGGTGAGTTTTATGTTGTGTGAATTATATCCCAATAAATAAATATACCGGACAGTCAATAAGGGAGGAAATGATATGGAGGGTGGGGCTATCCACTGACAGTATGGATGAATGAAGGGGTATATAAATCAGAGATATATTCTACAGAACTGATGACTGATTGGGTGTGGGAGGCAGTGAGAGGGAGGAGAAATTCAGGAATGATTCAGAGGTGCCTTATCATCTTGTATTTCATTGATTTATTTATGTATCTGCCCATCCCATTAGAATACATCTTCCTCCACCTACCCTGTCTAAATACATAGGGTCCGTTCTGCAGGGAAAGGGAAATAAGTGGCAATTTCAGACACACTTCAGATAAAACATCAACAAGGATTTCTATTTTCATGGTTCTGTTTTATGCACTTCAAGAGCGTTGCTCAGTTTCCCCTGGGAAGAGAGAGGTTGCTTCCTGTGGACATCCTTTGGACGATTTTGAGGTTTCCCCATTTTAGTCTTGATGAGAGAAGCACTAACCTTTATTGACTCCACATTAAGTGTTGGATGTTCTTTTTCCCAAAGAGGTGCTGTCTTTACTTCACCTGGCCACAGGTTTTGGAAAACTTTTTTTTTTTTTAAAGATTTTATTTATTTGTCAGAGAGAGAGCGTGAGCACCTGAGCCAAGCAGGAGGAGCAGCAGGCAGAGGGAGAGGGAGAATAGACTCCCCGCTGAGCAGGGAGCCCGATGCGGGGCTCAATCCCAGGACCCTGGGATAATGACCTGAGCCAAAGGCAGATGCTTAACTGGCTGAGCCACCCAGGCGCCCCTGAAGACTTTTTTTGGACAATAAAAACTTTTATTAATATAAGTTGATTTCACTTTTTGCTTAATCAAAGTTATAATAATGCAGCTGTCAGCTGGGCCTTCTCATTGGTATGAACCATCACTCACAATGCTAGTTGATACAATTTTAATCTAAAGAAAAGGATCTTGATACTTTGATAAGCCTGTACATTCTCATTAAATTTAATTAATTATTTATTTTACATTCTCATTTTAGATCATGTAAATTTCAATCAGTAAAATAGCTCTTGGTCCTGGTGACTATCTTCACAGACCCGTAAGAATCTAACGTCACATAGTTGGTAATTTCCCTGGTAATTAATTATTAATCAGTTTCCTTCTGATTAATTGCAAGTTGATTGTTCTCAGGAAGTCACTCAAATTGTGTATCATTGGAGGAATATCTCTGGATAAACTGGTTTGCTAAAATTTTTCTTTGGTTCACATTTGTTTATGGATATATTTTAAAAACTCACTTATTCATGAGTGTGGAAGGTGTGGAGTTCTATATGTACTCAAGATGCTTCAGTGTGCATTTTACATATTTTGAATTTCATCAGCCCTACAAAGATTTCGTCATCCTTTTATTTTTCTTTTAAGAAAACTGCAGGTTGGGGCAGCTGGGTGGCTCAGTCGGTTAAATGTCTGCCTTCGGCTCAGGTCATGATCCCAGGGTCCTGGGATCAAGCCCTGCATCAGGCTCCCTGCTCAGCGGGTGTCTGCTTCTTCCTCTTCCTCTGTCTCTCCCCTAGCTTGTGCTCTGTCTCTCTCGTGAGCTCATTCTCTCTCCCTCTTGAATAAATAAATAAAATCTTTAAAAAAAAAAAAGAAAAAAAAAATTGAGGGTTAAGGGGCACCTGGCTGGCTCAATTGGAAGAGCATGTGGCTCTTGATCTTAGGGTCATGAGTCCGAGCCCCACATTGGGTGTAGAGATTACTTAAAAATAAAATCTTAAAAAAAACAAGAAAGAAAATTGAGAGTTAAGAGGAGAACCCAGACAGCAAGTGGTAAAACTTAAATTTGAGACAGGGTTTGTCCGATGTCCTTCCTGGCAAACGACATTCTCCCGAGAAGCAGGCCCACACTAGCTGAAGCTGAAGAAGGAGCAAGAAGAATGTGAAACGAATTTCTTGATGCATATGGGTGTCTTACTACATCTTCACGTGTACTGAAATACATATGACCAGTGCCTGTTATTCATATGCTCACTATGAAATGAAGTAGCATACATTTGTAAACATGATCACATAAAAATTTAGGAAATATATCAACGGTGCACTCAAGTGAAGATCTATGAATCACCAGATCCACCTGGCCTCCAGACCAATCTTTCGGCCCTGGTAATCATGAGGCATTTCATTAAGATGCTTGTTTCTATTATTGCAGTGTGCATCCTCACAATCTACCCCAACTCCTTCACACAAATGAATAAGCAAACAAGCCAAGGAAAGACAGAGAATCTTTAGGATGCTATTCTACAGTACTATGAGATAAAACAATGACAGAATAAAATTAAGTAATTTTCAATTTCTTTTTTTTGAATAGGTAATGCATTCATTAATGTATTAGAAATATAAGCTAGGATAAGGTAAAAGGTCTTAGTCCCATCTCTTTTTCTATCCTATTTCCATCTTTCCACCTAGTGCCCTTCTCATATGTATGCCCCATGAGATAACAAGATAACGATTTTTATTAGTTTCTTGTGTATTCTTCCAGCATTTCTTCATGCAAGTATAAACCAGTATGAATATATACTCCTTTTAACCCCAAAGTAACTACTGCTCTGTATTTTTCCTTTTTCTCCTTAACAGTGTATTTTATAGATCTTTCCATATCAGTACGTAGAGAACCTCTTCAGTTTTTTAGATGTGTGTAATGTTCTATTTAATGTGTATGCCATTATTTACCTAACCAATCCACTATTGATGCTTGTTTGCGTTGTTTCTTTCTTTTCTTTTTTTAAAGTAGGCGCTATGCCCTATGTGGGGCTTGAACTCACAGCCCTGATATCAAGAGTCACATGCTTTACTGACTGAGCCAGCCAGGCGCCCCTAATCTTTTGCATTCTAGTTCACATTTATGGGATGAGGCTTACTATAGTCTAGGCATGGTGATAATTGCTTTACCTGGATTTATTTAATAGAACAACCCTATGAATTAGATAATATTATTTCTACTTTTCAGATGGCAAGGAAGGAAGCAAGAGGATCAAAGAGGCTGAGCAGCTTGCCCAAGGTTTGAATCCAGACTCTCTGCCTTTAGAACACGTATTTGTACACAGATCAGTGCCTTATTGCTTTCAGGAGAATTCTTACTTTTAAGAAGTCTCTAGTTATGTATTTGTGACTGTTCTTCACTGTTTTCTAAAACTTTTTCACAAACATTTGAAGAGTTGTATAAGTCAGGATTTTATTTCTTTCTACTACTCATTCTTTATTTTTTTCTTGGCCTGTGGAACATGTAATGATTAATCTGATATCTAAATATATCTCTAGAGACAGCTTAAGGAGATAAAACTTAAAATCATGACATAGATTTGACATTTTCCGAAAGTGATTACTTTTCATTTTAGAGCTATAATATGCTGAACTTTTTTTTTAAAGATTTTTTTTATTTATTCATTTGTCAGAGAGAGAGCACAAGCAGGGGGAGATGGGGCAGAGGGAGAAGCAGGTTCCCGCTGAGCAAGGAGCCCGATGCGGGACTCGATCCCAGGACCCTGGGATCATGACCTGAGCCGAAGGCAGATGCTAAACCGACTGAGCCACCCAGGCGTCCCAATATGCTGATATCTTGATCTGGATAAACAACAACAACAACATCAACAAACCAGCTTTCTGCATAGACACCCCAAGGTACTGTGCAGATCAGATAAATGACCTTGTCCTTTGCTATTCACCCTTCCTCTGCAGGTCTTTACACAAGGCAGGTGTGGAACCACGAAAATCTTTGCATTTTGTGTCTTCCTTCTCAGAGCTCTTTGACTTAATTCAAATTTAAACCAAATGAACTATATCTCGGCCTTGCAGACTACTGCCACAGGGTGATTGCAGAAAACTGAAAAACCCAGATGTTAGAAACCCAAACCAAGCCAGGCCTTCTCCTAAATTTAGCAGGTGCCTGCCACTATTGAAAACCTTGAAACGCATTAACGACAAAGTGTCGTATTGCTTCCTGATTGTATTTGGATCCTTGCCATCTGCAGCCATCGGGGCCACCGAGGCAAAGGCTAGTCCTGTGTTGTAAATGACAACAACTGTCTACAAGGAAGTGTAATGCCCTGGAAGTATTTCTTAATCTATTTAAACCTTAAACATCATTCTTAGGGACTGGATACCAACGGAGAGTACTAATCTTGCGACCCCACTTTTTTTTTTTGGTGACCTCACTTTAATGCAGGCAGATAGTCTCTCCTTTGCTGTCCTGCCCGCCGCTCCCTTGTGGTGTATTCAATAAACTTCTATCTCCTTTAAAATAAATAAGTAAGTAAATAAATTAACTAAATAATGCGCAAATCACAGTATTGAATGCAGTGCTCCCAGCAGAGATGGGCAGCTTCTTATTAGGTATATAATAAAGCCATTTAACAGTCATTGTTTTGCTGAAAAATTCCTTTAGATAAGGAATTGCCTGCCATATTTCATTCTCAAACTATTCACACCATGACACTTTAATGGAAAAAGAGATACCACCTGGAGTACTTACTAGCTTAACAAGCACTTGACTGGGAGACTAAGAAGATTCAACGGTTCTCGCTCCTGAGCGGTTTAACTCCAGAGCCTAATGCTATTCGATTACTCGAGGCACTGCAGCATGCCTGCCACTAGGGGGTAGTGTTGCTTTTTGCTCCAATTCCTGGCCGGTTCAATTCTGACCTTATCAGACTTAACAGAAGATAGGAAAGGAGGCTTTATTTTTCCTCAGCAAGTTTATTCCTCTTAGGCGCCTACAGTCAGCGGAACAATTTAGGATAAGATGAATGGCTAGCAAATGAAATAGGCTTGTTAAAATGTTTTCAAATATCTCCCCAAGGTGGACCATAACAGCTTCTTGATATCATCAGCGGTCTGTTTCATTAGGGTCTGGGGATGTTCAAGTTTTTGAAGTGCTACCAAGGGAAGTGAAGACTAATGGGGAATAGGGAGTGTGTCATAGCAGGAGATACGGAGAGGCCTGAGCCCTTGTGGACCCTTCCCCAGTCTGGCAGAAATCTGCTTTCCTCTTCCCTGGATTCAGTATTGGCTCCGATACCATTTGCTAAAGCATGTCTGCTATGCCAGTTTTGAAGCTTGTCAGAAATACAAGTTCTGGGGTCACATGAGTTTGGGAAATTCTGGTTTGAAAAAAGTTTTAAGAAATTTTACTTGGTGTACAACTTTTAGAACATTTACTTTACAAAGCACTGTGCAGTGTGCTTTGTGAATCTAAGGCTGAGCATTTGCTAGAGGTAGACACCGTAACAGTGGTTCTCAATGGAGGAGGGCTGATTTTGCCTCCTGGGGGCATTTGGCAATATTTGGAGACAATTTTGACTGCCATGACTAAGGAGGAGTGTTACTGGCATCAAGTGGGTAGATACCAAGGATACTGCTGAGTGTCCTCCAGTGCACAGGACAAACTCCCCCAACCCCCCTCTACCAACCAAGAATGATCACGTCCTAAAGGCCAATAATTCAGAGGTTGAGAAACCCTTCTCTATAATATATGCAGCTTCTTATACTTATTTTTTTTTAAAAGATTTTATTTATTTATTTGACAGAGAGAGACACAGTGAGAGCAGGAACACAAGCAGAGGGAGTGGGAGAGGGAGAAGCAGGCTTCCCGCCAAGCAGGGAGCCTGATGTGGGGCTCGATCCCAGGACCCTGGGATCATGACCTGAGCTGAAGGCAGACGCTTAATGACTGAGCCAACCAGGCGCCCTTCTTATACTTATTTAAACATAAAATTAATTATTTTTCTTGAGGTATCTTGTAGCACCAGAGTGGAAAATATGTGGGGAAACTCTGCCCTCAGTTTATCCACAGTGTTTTAATTATGTTTCAATTGCAATGTAGTGTGGTTTTCCCTCAATACTCCTTCTCTTTGATCTCCACTTGTCATTGTTGACTGACATCTCTGTGATTCTCCTGAACTGGTTTGACAGTGTGTTGTTTTCATTTTACTTCTCCTTCTGTAACCTCTCTCTTTCCTTTTTGTCTCTTCCCCGTTCTTCTGCTCCCTGGGAAGTGGCATGTCTTATGGTTTTATACTTCATTGTGATCATTGTCCCATGACTTCACTTCTCTATGATCCTCCTGCCATTGGCTCTACCTATATCCCTATCCAAGGTATTTTTTTTTTTTTAAAGATTTTATTTATTTATTTGACAGAGAGAGACAGTGAGAGAGGAACACAAGCAGGGGGAGTGGAGGGGGGAGAGGCAGGCTTCCCGCCAAGTGGGGAGCCCGATGCGGGGCTCGATCCCAGAACGCTGGGATCATGACCTGAGCCGAAGGCAGGCGCTTAACGACTGAGCCACCCAGGCGCCCCCAAGGTATTTCTTATATTCCTTTTCAAAAAGATAGACATTTCTGGTTATGTGTTGGTTGTTTTCTCCAAAATAAAATGTCCCCTCTCCAAAATCACCTCTTCCTCTTCAACTTCCTGTTTCTCTCCTTTATTAATTTGTTAAATTTTTCCAGTTTTCTCAGTCAGACGTGGAACCATGTTTAATCACTAAGCCTTGTGAATTTCCTGGTCTTTTGTCCATCTCTTCGTGAATGAGGCCTTGATTACCCTTTGTCTGACCACTCAGATAAATTCCAAATCATGTGTCCTGCTTCCACTCCTTACCTATGTGGTCTGTGTACTACCACTGTTTTGATCACCTGAAAACATCTCTTTGATTCTTTCTTCAAAACTTCCATTGAGTGAGTTCCCGTTGTCCTTTGAATAAAGTCCATACAACTTACACCAGTAGTCACATTTCCCACAGTAAGGCTCCCACCTGCACTTAAAGCCTTTGTTCTAATGACTCCTCCATTGAAATTCCTCCTGTTGAAGAAACACTGTTCATGTGAGAGCAAAGATATGGAGATGGGAGAGTGCAAAACACTTGGGGAAAGGAAGGTTTTGTAAACTTTTTAATTGATCTCTGGGATACAGTCTCTGTGAACTGAACAATTCAAGTTCTAAATTATTGTAGATACACTATATGCATGTGACATCCTCTAGACTAAGGATACTCTATACATGGGCTCATATGATCTTTATAGCATGTAAGGAATAAAAATAATAAGAGATATTGCTCAAGGCTTCTATCTGTCAAAATCTTTAGCCTGTTATATTATGCGTCCTCAGTAAACATTTGTTGAGGGGCGTCTGGGTGGCTCAGTCGGTTAAGTGTCTGCCTTCGGCTCAGGTCATGATCCCAGGGTCCTGGGATCGAGCCCCTCATCGGGCTCCCTGATCCGCGGGAAGCCTGCTTCTCCCTCTCCCACTCCCCCTGCTTGTGTTCCCCCTCTCTCTGTGTCTCTCTCTGTCAAATAAATAAATCTTTAAGAAAAAAAAGAAAAAATAAACATTTGTTGAATTAGAATAAACAAATTAATGAATGCATTCATGTACGAATGACAAGCTACCACAGCAGTGCTGTTGGTATCTACTTATATCCCCTCAACACTCATTGCTACGTGACAAAGGCAAATATCTGCAAATACTGCTGATACCTGCAACAGTCTACTTGAAGGCGCTTTCCCCTCCTAGCTACCAGTGCTGCTCAGCCTACTGCCAAGGCAAACTAGAAGTGTTGGAGAGTTGAGTCTAGAGCCACCCTCAATCAATGATAGGGTGTTGGTTGATATATCCGCTTAGTTGGAATAACTCTGAGAAGTACTCTGCAGTGTCCCCCAGATTTCCACACTGGGACTGAGTTTTAATTGCCACAGTGGTACCTTGCAAGGTAAAGTACCATTTACTGACTACCTCTCCTTTCTTGTCTCACTTTCCCACCCCTCAACAGTGCTTTGTAGGAGCACTTCTCAAAGCAGAAAACAAAACAAAAACAAACAAAACCCAACCAAAACCCAAACCAAACCCCCCCAACCCCCCAAAAAGTCTACTTGCAATTGATTTCCTGTCTGAGAATCTGCTTTTGGGGGAATGTAAATGAAGCCCTTGAATGTGGAATTGTACATTGAGTACTTTTTTTTTTTTTTAAAGATTTCATTTTTCAGTAATCTCCACACCCAACACTGGGCTTGACCTCATAGCCCTGAGATCAAGAGTCACACACTCCACTGACTGAGCCAGCCAGGCGCCCCTGCACAATGAGTACTTTAGAAGAGTCCATAACATTTGGAAATCATGCAATTGGAGTTCAACAACAACAACAACAAAATCTTTCAGGAATTATGGGTCATCTTCTCTGTGGCAAAATTTCTTCCACACAAATCACTAATGGTTTTAACAAAAGATATGGAAGATTTGTCTCTGGAAGCCCATTAATTTATGAGGGTAGGGTAGGGGTTGGTCTCTATTATTCAAGTTCTTTGGATAAAGAAAGAAAGAAATCATTAAAACTAGAAAATATTCACTAATGGAATGTTTAGTTATAAAATTACTCTCAACTCAAAAAACCCTTCCCACTTAACACTTACGTCTCTCCTATTAATGCCCTAGCAGCAAGTGTCAGAATATTTGGCCAAACCATGTGAATCAAACCATAGCTTCAGAAAATCTGAAATATTGCCCCCAAAATGCAGCATTCATGCAATCTATGAAAGTGATGTTGAGAACTGCTAGGATCAGTGCAAACCTGTGGGGATCGAGGATCTGGCAGAATTAGCCAAGATAATAACCAAAGAGGAGACAATGGACAGAGGATGATGAACATGATAGGAACTTTCCAACAGTGATCTCCACATCAAAGGATTAGGGTAAGAACTTGGGAAAATTAGTGAATGCTCTTTAATATGTTTGCAAAACATGATGCTGTTTTTGACCTTTCTGTTGAAGTCAAGCATGAGGGGATGGATATAATATTGTGTTAGGCCATTGTGTGTGTGTGTGTGTGTGTGTGTGCCTGTGTGTATTTGTTGTTTCGTTTTCCTTTTTTTGTGTGGGGGGAGGGGTGGAAATTCCACCCCAGAATATTCCATTTATATTCTGAGTGACAGAACTGCATTTAGATCTTTTTTTTTCTCACAGTGTTTAATCTCAAAGTCTAGTGTACAACACCCTTTAAGAGAATCATGAAAACATCCGCTTAGTTTAGAAGATTGAAATAGAAAGGAGGCTTATCCCTTGCCTTACACAGAGTCTCCTTTGGTTGAAAATCACTTAAACATCAAACTGAGAACATTGGCTGCCTTTCTTGATTTACAGATGTTTTCTTAGAACTATACTTCCAAACAGTTCCAGCTGGCTATAGTTAAGGCCTGTGTAAGTTGATAAGATGCATCTGGCTTCAGGACATGGACTAAATAGAGGCACAGGCTCTTCGTGTCCCCAGAGAATCTGGTTGGGGTAGGAGCTAAGTCTCAGAACCACTTGCTTTATTTATGAGTGCCAAGTTAATCTCCAGCAGGGAGAGACAGGGAGGGAGCAGGCTGCTGGGCTCTTCCTGCTGTTGAAAATTCACCAGGCACTCAGTGGAAATTTTCTTCCTTTCTTCTGCCCTGAATGTTTCCCCAAACATGAAGGTAAGATAATAATTTCATTACTTTTGTAAATGAAGCAATCTCAAAAGGGAGTGAGGCTTAACCAAAATGACTCAAATAAGGAGAAGACATGGGAAAATAGGAAAGAGAAAGATCTGGGGATAACTTAAAAAAAATCCTTCTTTAAATATATTTAACAATTCAGCCAAAGTGAATTCCTTTTTCTTGTTTTGCAGTAAAATTACTGGTTCGGAGGTCTGGGAATCAGAGATTGGAGACAATGTTTATGAAAGTCCTGAGAAAGCCATTGAGAAATACAGTAGTACCATTGTTATTTCTTAGGGAAAAATTCCCTCCAGTGTATTTTGTTCGTTTATTTGTTTAATTTGGGGCCACGCCATGAAACCCCATGATTTGACTTATCTAAGAGCTTTAAAGAAGCGAGTTTGGAGACTTGGAATTTTAGAATTTGGAATCCTGGATGAAAGAAAGGGTCAGGAATGTGAGAGTGGAAGATACAGATGGATGGAAGGCAATTGAAAGTTTACCAAGTACACGTGTTGGTCCAGTGCAATGTATCCCTCTCCCAACTTGAAAGTATATAATCAGTCACCTGTCACAACCCCAGTGCAGCTCCTTCTGACCAGGGGTCCTGTCCCTGTGCTTTAATAAAACCACCTTTTTGCACTGAAGACATCTCAAGAATTCTTTCTTGACCGTTTGCTCTGAACCCCAACATTTCCACATCAGGGAATGATACTCTAGTCATGTCTGGGAAAATCTAAAGGCACAAGCTAACAGACAGAGTAAATCAACACAGCAGTATTGGTTACATCCTGGATATCCAGAGTTTGACAGGATCAGGGTGTGTGCAGATCTCCAAGGGACCCAGTGTGGACCCCCTTTTTGGCTCTTGCTCTCTCCTTCCTGCTGCTGTGACTCTGGAGAAGACAGAGGCAGCTTGGAGAGGTGGGGAAGGAAAGCAGAAGAACGAGGAGAAGGAATTCTGAAGCAAACACCACCCCACCTGTGTTAGGAGCATCTGGGACAAGGGAGTAGGAGAGAGATTTAAAATCAGATGCTGAATTGAAATTTGCCTATTTAGATTGTTTCAGAATTTTTGTTTTCTGAAAATGCGACTATTTGTTAGTGCCTGGGAGTGACTAAAAAAGCTGTAAGACAGGCTTTCCCAGAGGGAGGAAAAATGAGTTGACATAGCACAGAGTAAAGACATTATTGAAAAATAATTATTGTAGTTTTTAATTAAAAAGAAGAAAACCCTTTAAAGGACTTTTACACTGGGTCATGAATTGGATACATTTGATAATGTACAGAGTCTCTAGTAAAGATTTGAATTATATTCACGGACACCTTCAGTGGTCAAAGTAGGGAAATACATAAAAATAAAAATAAGATAATAGAAATCACCTATAATTTTGTAACAGAAATAAATGATTACTCTTTTTTTTTACTCTTTTTTTTAAAAAGATTTTATTTATTTATTTGACAGAGAGAGAGACATAGCAAGAGAGGGAACACAAGCAGGGGGAGTGGGAGAGGGAGAAACAGGCTTCCTGCTGAGCAGGGAGCCCTATGTGGGGCTCGATCCCAGGACCCTGGGACCATGACCTGAGCCGAAGGCAGACGCTTAATGACTGAGCCACCCAGGCGCTCCATAAATGATTACTCTTTACTATATTTCTTTCTAGATTTGTTTTTAATACATGTTTGATTTTTCAAGCAAAATGTAACCCTATTTTACATACAGTTTTGTGACCTGCCAGATCTTCAATATTTAGGCTGGTGCTATCACATAAAGAAGATTACAAAAGGCCTTGGAGGTGTTTTACACCTGAGCCAGCCACAGAACTAAGGGTCACGGTGAGCATCACCGCCCTCTGGCTAGAGAAGTGCTTCAACTTTGGTTAACTTTTCATTTATAAAGCTTATTTCCCGTCTAACTACTTATTCTTGGCTGGTCTTTCTTCGAGGCTTCCTCCGCTCCGCGTGTCCTTAATGAGTGTTGAGGTTAGAACGAAGGAGAATGGAGAAAGGAATGAAAAGATCCCTAAAGAAATGCTCTAATGAGTTAAGTTTTCTATTTGTTTGGCCACGACATTCCCCTGCCCCTAGTTGTCTTTACCAGAATGAAGAGTAGGAGATGAGTTCAACAGAACTGTATTAAACTTTGATTTAGAATGGAAATTTAAAGGACAAGCAGAGTCGTTGAGCCTGGCCGTGGTTCCTTCCTTCTTTATATTCCCAACTCAAAAATCTTGACTTGTACAAATGTATTCGCTTTCAACTCATTAAAGAAATGCAAACTAATGTTTTATTCCTCCCTCCCTTGCCATCCCCAGGTAATAACTTTATTCATCTTGGTGGGATTTACAGGAGAGTTCCAAGTTTTTTCAAGGTGAGAGTTTTTTTGGGATTGTGTTGGAAATCATTAAAAATTGTTTTTTTATTTTTAGGAAGATCTTTAATACATGACCTGATTTTTACATTGCAGCCTGAACATCCTTATCCCTTCAATACTTTATCTTTCCACACTTTGAGAAAAGGCAATGATAGCGAAAGCTTGTTTTATTCTTATTCTTATTTTATTTTTTTCCCGTAAGGAAGAAACCTGAAGGCTAAAAATACCTAAAGGTTTTCTTCTTGTCCTAGTACCATGATTTTCCCTGCAATTCAGATTATTACACCAACCTTAGAATTGACGTATCTTAGAGCAAAATTTGATTTTTGAATGTAGTCATTGCAAAACATTCTTTGGATTTTAAAGGTTGACAGGTTTTTTTTTTTTCTTAATTGAAATATAGTTGATACACAATGTTACATTAGTTTACGTTGTACAACATAGTGATTTGACAAGTTTATACGTTATGCTATGCTCACCGCAAGTGTAGTTCCCATCTGGTTGAGAGTTGTTTTTTTTTTTTTTTTTTTTTTAAGAAATTAGGTTTATTGACTCTTGAGATCTGGAAAAAAGCCAACCTCATTTATCCATGGCCTTGTTTTGCTCTTACTGTCGGTTGGATGGGATAGGACCAGGTCAGTTCACTTTATCGAGCTATCAGAATATGTGCCAGGAGCTGATCTAGTGACGGGGATGCAAAGCGGACCAACACAGTACTGAGAGTCCACTGGATGATTCAGATCTTGAAATAGTCAATTTCAGTACAGATGTGCTAAGATTTCTGGAAGAGGCCTGCATGCCCTACTGTGGGAGCACAGACGAGAGAAGGCCAAGCTAGCTCCCCTTCCTAACCCTTGCTGTTTGGGGAAGGCTTCTGTCTGTCCCTGGGACGCAACATAGAAAAATAGCAAGTTCCAATTGTTCAAAGGTCACAAACACTGAGGAATTTGGATCATTGTTGCCATGTCACAACGACAGATTAGCAAGCTTGGCTCCATAAAAGCATGTGAGGGACACACACTACAGGGGGGACACCTTACTTTCAGGGTCACCTCACAGACTTAAGGTGAGCACAAATCACCTTGACTCCAGATGTCTCCAAGGCTAGGAATGTGCTCGAAATCCAGGAATCAGGAGTCTGAGTTCCTTTACCCCTTGTAAAATGTGCTTTTGGGCTAGGCCAAGCCGTGTGATCTTCTTGACAAAGCTGGAGTTAAGCATCACATGAGAACGGACTCTCCATTTTTCATGTATTTTAGTGGAGTGGAGTTGTTTAAACTCAAATTGACCCTACTTGGGTGTGTTCTTGAGAAGTAGCCTAAATGAACGGGGGAATATCTAAAAATAAATTTCTGTCCCTTTAGTCTTGGCCAGTTTTTAGTTTCTCACTTCTCATAGGGTCTTTTTAGAGCTTTTTCTCTTCCAGTGAAGAGTTTCTGTATAACTCTTCCATTCATTATTCAGAATCCTCTCAAAGGCCAGAATACCTTCCTTCTATATGTTCTCACCTACCCTCCCAAATGTGAACACTCCCTCATCTATATTTCCACAACACATTGTACCGGACACATTTCTGTTATGAAATCGATCAAATTAAATATATTGTATGATCGTATTAGGATTATTTGTTTATACCTCTGCATCTTTGTCCTCTCCTCTATCCATAGTCAGTGACCTATCTCTCATTGTGTCTACAGCTCAGGTGTCTAAATAGTGTCTGGTACATTATAGATGCTTAATAAATGTTAATCTCTAAAAAAGCTGGTCCCTTCCCCGTATATTTTTATATGTCTCGGGATGCTTTTGGTGCCTCTTACAAAATTGTGAAGGATTTTTTTTTCTTTTTTTTACTATTTTTGACCATTCTTTGTGTTTCCCCTCTCTTTATCTTTCTATCTGATTTATAACAATTTGACAGAGCCCCCACTCCAGTCACTTGCCAGTGGGATTCCTATGGATCGTGGTCAGAATGCAATGGTTGTACCAAGACTCAGGTAGGACCATACAAAAACTTTGCTCTTGGGGCGCCTGGGTGGCTCAGTCATTAAGCATCTGCCTTCGGCTAAGGTCATGATCCCAGGGTCCTGGGATCGAGCCCCGCACCAGGTTCCCTGCTCGGCCAGGAGCCTGCTTCTCCCTCTCCCACTCCCCCTGCTTGCATTTCCTCTCTCGCTGTCTCTCTCTGTCAAATAAATAAATAAAATCTTTAAAAAAAAAAAAAAGATATTCATGAGACCATATAACATTGGAATATTTTAAAAGGCAGAAATTAGACTTGAGAGCCATGGAAATAGCTTTTAAAAATCTACCTGTGTTAATACAGATTGTGTATTTATACATCATTAAGGATATACCAAAAATAGGGGTGCCTGGGTGGCTCAGTCATTAAGTGTCTGCCTTCGGCTCAGGTCATGATCCCAGGTCCTGGGATCGAGCCCCGTGTCGGACTCCCTGCTCGGTGGGGAGCCTGCTTCTCCCTCTCCCACTCCCTCTGCTTGTGTTCCCTCTCTCGCTGTGCCTCTCTCTGTCAAATAAATAAAATCTTAAAAAAAAACAAACAAAAAAACCCCACTTTGCTCTTATTCTTTATTTATTGTATATATTGTTTATATTGAAATAGCTGATGTATAGACAAATGACATTAGCTTTTGACATGTTATTTTTTGTTTCTTAATATAATTATTAATTTAAAGGGAGAAAAGTATGGCTTTAGTAATTAATAATGTAATAAAGTAATTCCTGCATTCTTATTTTTCTTGCAGGACTTTTCTAAATCTTACATTAGAGCCTAGAAACATACATAGGATAAAGCAATTCGCTAACTCTTTAACTATTAGAGAAATAGAAGAGCATGAAATGAAGTTAGTAGGTAGTTCAAAATCTCACTACTGGGTTCAACTTTTCTTCTTATTTAAAACTAACACTAGCAAGTACAAAATGGCTGCTTTGTTTTACCTCACAAATAGTGAATGACCACAAAGAGTGAAACATTTTGCACTTTTTTTTTTTTTTTTTAAGATTTTACTTTTAAGTAATGTCTACACCCAACGTGGGCCTCGAACCCACTACCTGGAGATGAAAAGTTGCCTGCTCCACTGACTGAGCCAGCTAGGCCCCTCTGCATTTTTAAACTTTTTAAAGTTTAATTTCTAAGTAATACAAATAAAATGCTGGACTTGATCTGGAGATAATAGAGTACTTCTAAAAGTGTCTGTTTTATTCCCTTTATTGTAAGTTATTCACTGGAGAAAACATGGGAAAGTATATATAAAGAAGATGCTACTTATAATTCCACCATTTAAAAGAAACCAATATACCATCATTTGGTATTTATTTTCTCAATTTATCTTCTCTGTGTGTTTATAATTTTTAAAAATAGAATTGTTTGATTAAGTTTTATATTCCACTATTAAAAATTTTTTTTGTTTATTTAAAAAAATTTTTTTTAAGTAAACTCCATGCCACACGTAGGGTTTGAACTCATGACCCCAAGATCAGGAGTCACATGTTCAACCAACTGACCCAGCCAGGGGTCCCTATATCTTACTGTTTTTTTGTTTTTGTTTTTTTTTTGTAAGTAGCCTCTGCACCCAGCATGGAGCCCAACATGGGGTTTGAACTCACAACTGTGAGATCAAGATCTGAGCTGAGAGCAAGATCGGGCGCTTAACCAACTGAGCCACCAAGGCACCCCTCTACTATTTTAAAATTATACTTTTGGCATGAATTTTAACAGCTCTATTATTTTCCATTATATGCATATACCGATCTTATTTATCCACTTTCCTATTGTTTGAGACTTAGGATATGTACATTTTTGTTATTATAAATAAAACTTCAGTGAACATTTTTGTACATAGAAATCTGTCCTCTGTTCTGATAATTTTCTCAGGATAAATTCCAAAAATATAATGCTTGTTTTAAAGGTTCTAAACATTTGAATGATTAAGTATGTTTTTATTGAAATATAATTAGCACATGACATTATTTTAATTTCAGGTATACAACATGATTCTATATTTGCAAAATATTTTAAAGGTGGTTCAGCTTGAATAAAAATGTGTATTTAAAAACCACTTTTTAATTATTAAGAAAACAGAACCATATTACAGAAGATAATTTCTGTTTTGAAGCATCATCATGATCATCATTTTCATCAAGCATTTGGTACCTACATGAGTGGTATTTACAAAGCAAGTTACACGAATGCAGAATTTGGCTCTGGGGAAATAGATGACTACTCTGATTACGTGAATAACAAGGCGAAAGTCAAACACCAACTACAGAAAACATTTTTATAATTTAAAAACAAGTTAAGAAGGAATGCTAAAAAGAAAGAGATGGAAAGTATTTTTCATATTAGCAATTTTTTTCTTTGCATGAAGGTCATCATGCAATGATTACGTCCCTAGGTTATAACGACAAAATTTTCATCCAGAAAGAGACAAGTGAGGATGAAAATAGGGTCATAAGATCAGAATCTGTCAGGTGAGAATTTGATTGTTTGCAGTGGGCAGCACCATCCAGAGAGAGGGAAGCACTCTTTAGACAAACAACACAATCTGTGCTTTGGAACTTCAGAAAAGGACAATTTAATAAGACACATGTGAGAGGTGTCATCATCAATTAAACAGAGAGACTAAAAACTTATCAAGGAACTGTACTGAGTCCCATTCCCCACTCCTGTTCCTCCACAGCTCCTCTGCTTAGACACAATGGAAGGTGCCACTGTCAGGCCCAGGCTGACAAAGCTGCTCACAGAGTAAATTACACTACTGCGACCCTATGTCCGAAAGAATCCCCACTTCTAACCCAACTTAGGATGGATGAAAAGATTCAACTTTGGCTTGTGATGAAGGATAGAAGCAGAAGTGTGTTCACAGTTAGCCCAGAAGCCTGACCTATAGCCTGCATAGTTCCCACAAGGATCAGATACTGAGGGTCTCATGATTGCCTGTTCATCTCGCTGATAGTTAATACTGAGCCCAATGATAAGCACCAGAGAGATCCTGCAAAAGTAGTTTTATGAGTAGAAATTCGAAAAAGACATTTATGATCTGATACTCCCTGCACGTCTCCTCCCCCTTGAGACTAAGTATATAACCACCAGCTTCATAGAGCAAAAGTACAGCTCCTTCTGCCCATGGGCCCTTGTCCCTGCGCTATAATAAAAGCACCTTTTTGCACCAAAAGCATCTCAAGAATTCTTTCTTGACTGTTCCACTCCTGGCCCCACATCAGTTTGTATATATCCTGTCTTCCCTGTTGGTATTTGCTCAAGGCTTAAATTCTCTGGAAGGTCAGATTTTGTTTATTTTTTTTTAATAGGGAAAAGGTGAGTACAGGAAGAGGCTTACACAATGCATTTGATTGCTGTTGGGAGGGAAAAGGATTTTGTGGACCTCTTTTTGTTTAAATATTAGATACATGTCTTCATATTGATTAAGTGAATTTTAGAATGAATTATTTGTTTCTCAAGTAGCTTGATGAGTTCCTCTATTTTTCCCATACTTTCTTTCCCAGAGATTTGCCTTGACATATTTCCCATTTCAGAGGCCATTGATTTTGATTGTCTAGTAGAATTCCATTGCAGAGGTAGCTTCATCTTTGGACTAGGAGGTTTTACATCTGCCCCCCAGAACAATTTCCTGAACACTGATTCTTCAATTGTATTAATGTCTCTTAGATTTTGTTTCTCAGATAAAGGAAAGGACATGTCAAAACGCATTGCCTGTTTTGTGTTTAGACTCGCAGGCGGTCAGTTGCTGTTTATGGGCAGTACGGGGGCCATCCTTGCGTTGGAAGTGCATTTGAAACACAATCGTGTGAACCTATAGTAGGATGTCCGACAGAAGAGGGATGTGGAGAGCGGTTCAGGTGTTTCTCAGGTATCTATTTTCCATTGGCTTGGACACTCCAAGCAGAGTGTAGATTCAAATGCTATTTGATTAACTTGCTCAGTATGTATTTGTTCAATTTTACTGAATTTATAGTGGCCTAAGAATTGATTTTATTGGCATATTAATTATACACTCAGCTATCATTATTTCAAATGCAATATCATTATTTCATCTGGTAATAAAGGTGGAGCTACTCCTTGCTTCTTTGAAAAGAAATATGACTATTGACAGACCCAAGCAGCCCTTGACACTGCATTTTTGGTGAAGATGCAGAGTGAGTCTGGTACATCAAGATTGGGCAAAAACAGCGTTACTGCCCAAATTACTACTATGTTCACAAAAAAGCAACACTGATTACCTAGTCAAGAAGCAGTACAGGTCACTCCTATGCACAGGGTGATTGAAACCTAATTTCAAGTTTGGGCACTGAGTATTTTTTGCCCTACTGTTTAGGTAGTGTTTGTGCAGTCAGATTAATTCAACAACCTTTAGCAGATATTTATTATTCTTATTAGGCTCCAGATATAGTGGTGAGGGTTGTGGATATGTAAATGAAACACATAGCCTCTTCCTTCACAAATATTGAAGTTTATGGGCAGAATAGTACATAAATAATCCCTGTGTTAGAAGTGCTCCTCCACAATACCTGTTGAACTCCTAGTTTTCTTTCAAAACCAAAATCAGATGACTCATCTTTTAGGAAGCATTCTTTAACTCCTAAACTGATAGAGATAACTAACAAATCACTTCTCTGTGTTCCCTATGTACATCGTACCATCTATAATCTGGAGTTATCTGTTGGCCTGGTTATCTCTCTTGTGAACTCCTTGAGGATATGGATAATATTCCTTTAATTTTTGCATCTGAAGTAACACAGTAGACTCTCAACAAATGTTTTTTTGCGTTGGATTGAGTGAGACCCCAGTGGGGTGCATGCTTTACCATCAGAACAGTTGTATGCAATACATACTCTGAGGACATAAACGAAGGACTTGTATTATAGCCTGTGGTGTAGGGATGGAGATAATATTTAATTTGATTTTTGAGGAACAAGTATGTGGCAGGTAGAGAAACCCTCCTAGGCTGAGAGAAGTGTAAGTGCAAGGTCAGTGGAGATGACAGAAAGCCTGGCCTTTTAGTCATGTAGGTGTGATGAGGGGATAGGAAGCAGGTAGAAGAATGGCTGCGGACGATGCTGGGGAGGTAGGCAAGGGTTAGATCATCTGGTGCCCTTCAGTGCTTCCTTGGCGCCTGGGATGTAGATCTATCAGAACAATTACATTGCAGGATTATAATGATCTATGTCTTCATAGTCCTTCCTACTAGATTGTAAAGTATATGAAAAGCCCAACATACCATTTTTATTTATATTTGTGCCCTAACATCTGGAAGAGTGCCTTGCCCAGAGTAGGTGCTAAAGAAATGTGGAATTTTAAACTTTTGACCCAGTTTCCATGCTCTCAAAAGCTTACACATCAAATCACCAAAAAAAAGCAGAGCTTTGGCATCTTGGTCAGTGATTACAAAAAAATAAACTGAAAGTTGAAGGGCAGGATGTCAATGTATCCTCCCAGTGGTTGGCGCCTTTTGATTTTGGGAAGATTCAGACAAACAGCTTGATTATGGGTGGAAGGCTGGATTTTGAATTCAGCTTTTATTTTCAATTTTGTTTCCAGATGAGATCAGAATCAATTTTGTGTGTTAGAATATGAGGGCCAAAATAATCACCAGGCCTTTCCTGGACACCTTGAAAATTGATCTCAAATTCACAGTAAAATATTAATGCAGTGTTGGGGGTCAGGGGCAAAACCTTTTTTTTTTTTTAAAGATTTATTTATTTATTTTAGAAAGAGCAATCATGAATCGGGGGAGGGGCAGAGGGAGAGGGAGAGGGAGAGAATCTTCAAGAAGACTCCCTGCTGAGCACGGAGCCCCACACGGGGTTCCAACTCATGACCCTGAGATCAGGACCTGAGCTGAAGCCAAGAGTCAAAGCTCAATCTACTGAGCCACCCAGGCACCTCTGAGGCAAAACTTTTTTGATCCCAGGTAGTTTTTGCCTTCTTCCCTCTTTTATTTTGTGTGGGGGCTTGTCTTGTGTATAGGCCAGTGCATCAGCAAATCTTTGGTTTGCAACGGGGATTCTGACTGTGAAGAGGACAGCGCTGATGAAGACAGATGCGAGAACTCAGAAAGCAGAACTTCCTGCGACCTTGATAAACCTCCTCCCAACATAGAACTTACTGGAAATGGGTAAGGTACTGGGCAGCTTCCTGTGCATATGGATGGGTTGTAGCTTTTCATTTTGTTTTTATTTTATGGCTTGGTAAATCTAATAACAAATCATAATAGCTAAGCTTTTGGCTCAGAGCTCTTTGCCACATCCTAAAACATTTAAAACAAAATTTTTTGAAGTTTTATTTATTTAAGTAATTTCTACCCCCAATGTAGAGCTCGAACTCACAACCCCGAGATCGAGTTGCACGCTCCCCGACTGAGCCAGCTGGGTGCCCCAGAACTTTTAATTCATACCTGTATACCTGAAAATATATGTGGAAAATGTAGAGTGTCCAATTGTCCCTGGACTATCCTGCTTTTAGCATTGGAAATCCTATGTCCAGGGAAACCCCTCAGACCTGGGAAAACCTGGATGTTGGTCACCTTCTGGGAGAGAGGTAGAAATAGAGAGACAGAGGGAGAACTGGTGCAGTGACAATGATGGGAAGCTACTTAAGAGAATGAAGAGATAATAGAATAAGAACAGAGAAAGAAGAGAGAAAGTGGTGTGTTGGAATATTTAGGCTTGAAAAGTAATTGTCTAAACCAGCTGGAAACTTTCATTTTCAAGTGAAGTTGGGACAATCCCATGTTTGTCTTTTCAAAAAGAATTGTGAAGAACTTTTAAGGGTCAGATCCAAGCTGAGATTTCAAGGCTTTAAAATAGTCTATTTTAGAATGATAGTTAGAGGTGGTTTTTCTATAATATTTTAAAATTCATTAACAGAGAAATGGTAAAATTACTCTAAAGGGTATACCATTCAGTATGCTAAGAGGCAATTTAGTTGAAATTCCCTGTAGAAAGTTCCCTTTTGGGGCACCTGGATGGCTCAGTTGGTTAAGCATCTGCCTTCGGCTCAGGTCATGATCCCAGAGTCCTGGGATTGAGCCCCGCATCGGGCTCTTTGCTTAGTGGGGAGCCTGCTTCTCCCTCTGCCTGCCGCCCCTGCTGCTTGTGCTCTCTCTCTGTCAAATAAACAAAATCTTAAAAAAAAGAAAAGAAAGTTCCCTCTCCTCAAGAGTAATCTTAATTGTATTGGTTTTATCTATAGATTCAACTCAAAACCAGCTTTTGCTATAGATACAAAAGGGCTGTGTGTTTCCCAAACATGTTCTTAGGCTGAAGGGATGTTGGATTTCCCCAGCTATTAGTTTTAGCTATTACACCACCCAGGGGAGGTGGATAATGTATGGTGTGCATTAGGATACTGTTCTCTTTATTTGAGCTCTCTTGAAGAGATGCTTAACTGTAATATATTTCAAGATTTTCTAGAATTCCTTTTTCAGCAAGTGCTGTTTCTGGTTTTTAATCATCTTTTCTTCCTTCCTTTTTTTTTTTTTTTTAAACAGTTACAATGAACTCACTGGCCAGTTTAGGAAGAGAGTCATCAACACTAAAAGTTTTGGTGGTCAATGCAGAAAAGTGTTTAGTGGGGATGGAAAAGATTTCTATAGACTGAGTGGAAATATCCTTTCCTATACATTCCAGGTACTTAATTTCATTGATTTAATTTATTTTTAACGTGTGAATTATTGCCAGAGATCATTACTTATATGATATTGATTTTTTGGTATTTGTTGAGAATTTATTTGTGGCATAATACTTGGTATTTGTTGAGAATTTATTTGTGGCTTAATATTTGGCTTAAACAAATGTTTTATATGGGCCTAAAAAGGATACATATTCTTTAACTCTGGGGTACAAGGCAATGATACTTTAAATTTGTCTCATTTAAACTGAACTATTCTGTTGTCTCATTTTCAAGTCTGTGGACCATATGGGCCCCAGACTGGATGGTCTGTCCCTGTGTGGGTGTCAAAACTCAAGGCCCTGGTCAGGACTGGTTGTAATAATCTTAGTGTCAGCTCACTTAAAAATGCTTTTGTTTTTAAATTGTGAAATATTTCATGTATACAAAAGTGTGACAAATGTAAACATACAGTTTGAAGAAAACTAATAAAACAAATACTCATATATGCCCACCACCCACCTTAAGAAATAGAATATTGCCAAAGACTGATTTAAATGCTCTCATCTACCCCTCTCTGGCCACATCCTCCCCACCCCCACTCCCTAGACAACCACTGTCTTCTGTTTTGTATTAATCACTTCTTTGTCTTTCCATATACATTTATCTCATATGTCTTTGTCCCTAAATAAAAACTTATGATTATTTGTGCCTGTTTTTTGGCCACTTATAAAAGTAAATCCTATAGTATATATTCTATGACTTTTTTTTTACTCAAAATTATGGTTTTGAAATTTATTCATGCTGATGTAGATGACATTTTTATTGCTGGTTCCATTTTTTTTTCTTATGAAAATGCCTTGCACATTCTTGTGCATGAGTTCCATGCAAATGAGCTAGAGTTTCTCTAAGGCACTTGAGTTGCTGCCACACAGGTTATGTATAGGTTACACTCTGCTCAGCAAAGTTTCCAAAATGGATGTGCCATCAACTTATACCAGATCAGCAGTGTGGAAGGGGGGCCCTGTGCTCCCTATCCTTAGCAATGTCTGCATTGCCAGAATTTTCCATTTGACTTAGGGTCGCAGGGACTCCATTCCAGGCTTCTGCTTCTTGTAAGCTGTTTCTGTCATACACACCTAAACTTGTTCTGTTCCAGGATTTCCACACAAAATCCACTCACACAGAAACAGTTATGGTTTTAGGGGGAGAATCCTGAGCATATGAAGGGAATATAGAGGAAAGATTTTCTGTTGCAGTCATGCCAACGCATTCAACAAAAAAGGTTGACATCCTCCATCACAAAACATCTATCCTTCTAGAACTTCAACAAATCAAAGTTTCTGGTCTCATCCTATTTCAGCCTCTTGTTCTCTTCTGCCAAGACCTCCTCTTTCACTTCTTTGCTCTCTTCTTCCCAGAATTCTGAAAATTTCCAGTTCAGTGCTTCTTACCTATTACTCCCGAATTTGTAGACCAAAACTATTAGGATGTTCAGACAGAAGGGCTTTTTGTTTACCAAACTTAACCCTCTTCAGAATGCAGTTTTAATTATAAATAGCAAACAGCATCCTCCTCTGACTTACAGTAGAATAAGTTACATTTACGAACTACTGTGTCATGGGGGCACCTGGGTGGCTTAGTCGGTTGAGCATCTGACTCTTGATTTTGGCTCAGGTCATGATCTCATGGGTCATGAGATCGAGCCCTGTTTTGGGCTCTGTGGTCAGTGAGGAGTCTGCTTGAGATTCTGTCTGTCTCTCTCTCTCTCCCCCTCCCTTGCTCTCTCTCTCTTAAATAAATAAATAAAAATTTTTAAAAGACTTTATTTATTTGACAGAGAGAGACAGTGAGAGAGGGAACACAAGCAGGGGGAGTGGGAGAGGGAGAAGCAGGCTTCCCGCCGAGCAGGGAGCCCGATGCGGGGCCCGATCCCAGGACCCTGGGATCATGACCTGAGCCAAAGGCAAATGCTTAACTGGCTAAGCCAGCCAGGTGCCCCAAAGATAAATTTGGCCAGAAAGAAAGTCAGTCGTTGAAGAGGTAACCCAGTGTGAAGATTGGGATAGTAAATGCTCTCCACAGCTCAGATAGACCTGAGGCCCCTGGGCATTCAGCTCTTTTGAGTGGAAGATGGCTTTTGGCTTGTTGGCACATAAATATTAGTAAATAAACATGTAACAACAATCAGTCAGTCCATCTTATAATCTCTGTTTCAGTTATCAGGAGTGTAGTTTATCCAGGGCAAACCTGGTTTCTTGTTGACTAAGCCATTATCTTTGATGCCATGCACTTTCTCTGTTTGCTCATATTTTTCTTACCACAAGGAAGCCTTGGACACAGAAACACGTTCCTCTTCCATGGCCACTTTGGGAAGGTACCACTTTGCTAGTTCAGTCTGGAGAATGTTGAAAGACTGTTATGTTCATCGTCAGCTTGGAAAGAGTTGCAGAGGGGAGTAAAGATGAAGGTAGAGAAAATGAATTACTTCCTGGATCCTCCTGTATTTAGTCTTGAATGTACTTCATTATATTTTTGGAACAGAGATCCTATGTGCATATCAAGTAAATAACAAAATCATATTCTTTTTAAAAAGACTTATTTATTTATTTTAGAGAGAAAGAGAGAGAGAGCATGAGCAGGGGGAAGGGCAGTGGGAGAGGGAGAGAATCTCAAGCAGATTCCCTGCTGAGCATGGAGCTCAGTGTGGGGTTTGATCTCACCACCCTGAGATCATGACCTGAGCTGAAATCAGGAGTCGGACGCTTAGCCGACTGAGCTACCCAGGCACCCCGGATCTTTTCTTTTCTTTTCCCTTCTTTTCTTTTTTAAAAAATACTTTATTTATTTATTTGACAGAGAGAGAGCGAGGGTGAGAGAGCACAGCAGCGGGAGGAGCAGAGGGAGAGGGAGAAGCAGGCTTCCAGCAGAGCAGGGAGCCCGATGTGGGACTCGATCCCAGGACCCTGGGATCATGACCTTAGCTGAAGGCAGATGCTTAACCAACTGAGCCACCCAGGTGCCCCCTTCTTTTCTCTGTAATAATCTAAAAATGTGGGTACTGTCATTTCTATTTTACAGTTGAGGAAACTCAAGACAAAAAATGCTGAAGAGTTTACCCACAATCATAAAGTTAATAGATAACAAATATGGACTCTGAACCCAAGAAGTGTGTGTGCAGAGCCCTTGCAGTACACTCTACTTAGGTGGGGTTAGAATATACATACATTTGATAGGAATGAGCCAGTAGAGAATGAAAAATTGAAGCTGTGGGAGAGGGAGTAAGCAATCAATTTAATAAATCCTTAGAAGTGGTGGGAGGGAATGCAATAGAGATGAGACAGAAATTAGCTTTAGATGGAGGAAGGACACCTGTGGAGGAAAGGAAGTGAAGAAATGTAAATACATTTGTGGATTTGTTAGCCAGAAGTTTAGGAGCTCTCATGTCTGATAATGGGAATGTTTGGAAAGAAAGAGGTTAAGGTCATTTTCTGAGAGTGAGGGAAGTGGTTCTAAGATTGAGGGACTGAGGTAGGTGCAGAACCTTTGAAATAGATACTGTAGAGAATGGGAGAGAAAGAGAATGGAAATATAGGGCTGCTGCACTGCTTTGAGGGTTCCCCTGAGACTGGAAATCATGAGTGGACTTACAATGGTACTGATCGGTTAGCTGTGTGATTTTTCTATCATAGTGCTAAGCAGCTTGGCTGCGAGCATTGAACCGGGGCTGGAATTCTGCCAGGCAAACATGATGGCAGAGCAGATCTAGGCAAGGGAGTTAAGGTCATTGGCGAGAGACTGGTTGAAGTCATGAACCATGAGGTCTATCTGAAAAGGAAGGAAGTGAAAAAATGAAGGTGCTGATAGAGAGAGAGAAGGGAAGCCAAGTAGAGGAACTTGTGTCTATAAAGTTGAATAATGGCTCTGGTGATAATAGAATGAGAGTCAAACGAGTAAGAGGTGGCAGGATGTAGGATGTTTGAATTTGTGATTTCAGAGGAGGGATCAGTCTGGGTGAGTCTAAGTTGGATGGAGAGAGTCATTTTAGGTCATTTAAGTCAATTAAGGGTCATTTAAGAAGATCACATTACCTTGAAAAAGATGACTCTTGCAGCTCTGTGTAGAGTAGATGAGAGTGAGGAGATGCTGAACTAAAGCAGCTAAAGAGGCTTATTTGCATTAATCAAGTACTTGAATTGCAGATTTGAAGATGAGGGAAAATAGGCTTTTTTTTTCTTGCATTGAAAGGAAGATAGATAACTTCTCTTTCTTAAGAGAGATAAAAAGTAAATTTGTGTCGATCTAAAACCAAATAGGACCGAAACACTATCTAGTGGTTGCAGAAATCTCTGATGGCATTCTTATTAATGTCCTCTTTCTAGTCAATAATAATACATATATTCTCCATCTCAGTCTGAGCTGAATTTTTGCCTTTGACTTTTAAACAAACCAATTTCATAATGTAATGAAAATAATGCTCTAACAAAAGATATGAGTAAATCTATCTTTTCTTGTCTTCTGGCATGTTCTTAGCATGCATGCATAATTTTTAACATGGGCAGTGATAAAAGTAATACAATATTTTCTGGCATTTTGATGAATTTTTTTCTAGTCTCTTCTTCTTCTTCTTCTTTTTTTTTTTTTTTTTAAGTAGACTCCATGCCCAGCATGGAGCCCAAGGTGGGGCTTGAACTCACAACCCTGAGACCATGACCTGAGCTGAGATCAAGAGTCAGACACTTACCTGACTGAGCCACCCAGGCACCCCTGAATTTCTTTCTAGTCTTTTTTTGACTGGGGAATATACTTGTATGGTTGTAATGAACAGGATTATCACATTTATACCCACTTTCTCATTTAACATGAATATTTTTCTTCATAGGCATCATTTAAAATGGCTACATGGTATTCTGTCATTTTCATTCTTCTTAGGTTTGTGTTTAAAGTGTATCATATCCATCAGTTTAATGTTCCCTGTGCTTATTTATACTTTGATCTCAAACACAGATGTGTATGGCTATATGCTAAGAACACAAATGCTTGTGGAAGGACAGTTACTGATTTGACTATTTATGCAGAGCAGACACTGAGAGAGGGAGTCAGCTTGTGTGTCTTGTTTTATTTTCATGGTGCTTGACATTTTTTAGCAAATTAATTGCCCACAATTTAAAAAAAGTCTGGAAATCTTTGTGTCAAGATTTCAGATTTTTCTCTTTTCTTGAAAACAGATAATCTGTCAATGCTAGAACTTGTAGTTACATATGGTAACTGTATGATGGATTTGAGTGTTGGTGTCCCTTTTCAACAGTGTGTGTGTTCACTTCATCACCCTGCCTTCCACGGGATGCCTCCAACATTTATATTACATGCCAGCCCCCATGGACATTTTATTTTGACACTTGATCTAGGATAAAATAAGGAAGGGATAAATAAATGATTGTCTTCTTTGTCAGTGCTGGGGCTCTCCCTTCCCTGTTAGCCACATGTGACTATCCTGTTGTCTGCCTCAAAATTCCTTTGGGATGGCCTTTTCTTCTACCCTCGCTCATAAGGAAAAAAAATTGCATCTCTGTTCCCCTCTTTTAGCTGAAAAATCAAGAACCAAGGGCTTTTCAGTTCTCTGTTAGTGTAATTCTGTTGATTTGCTGACTTCTGGGTTAACTGTTGACATTAAAAGAAAGTGGGAGATGTTTGTACACAGATGTGTTCTGTGAATTACTTGGAATTGCCATTATTGACACCATGTCTCCTTCTTAACTAAGAGTGGTTGTAGAATGGACTCTATTCCTTATACTCATATGGGCCCGGTTGTAATGAGAGCCACAGTCATTTTGTGTCAATGAAGAGCTTTGTCTTTTTGGAGAAGACTGTTTGAAGAAAGTATCCACGTTAAAGGATCCATGGCAAAAGATTTTTGGTTATATCCAAGGCCTTAATTTGGTCACAGCAAAATTTTTCATTTTCTTTATAGGTGAAAATAAATAATGATTTTAATTATGAATTTTACAACAGTAGCTGGTCTTATGTAAAGCTTACCTCGGCAGAACATACATCATCTAGTAGGAAAAGCTCCTTTTTCAGATCTTCATCATCTTCTTCATCTACTCATACTTCACATACCAGTGAAATCCACAAGAAAAAGGTTAGTATGAAATATTAGTTGACTTTTCCATATTTTACTGCTTAAATATTTCTAACATTAACAAAAGTGTATTTACCAAACAGATCAGCTTTCTTTTTTAAATTAGGGTAATAATATCCTCTTCAAAGGGACAATGTAATATATTTCTTTAAAAGGTAAGATTGTGTCTTGTTAGTTCTCTTGGATAATATATTTATTTATACTTTTTCTTTTCTTTTTTTTTCTTCTTCTTTTTTTTAAGTAAGCTCCATACCCAATGTGGAGCTCGAACTCAGGACCCTGAGATTAAGAGTTATGTGCTCCACTGACTGAGCCAGCCAGGCGCCTCTATACTTTTTCTTTAAGATTTTATTTATTTATTTGACAGACAGAGAGAGAGAGAGAGAGAGCTGTAGGCAGAGGGAGAGGGAGAAGCAGGCTCCCCGCCAAGCAGGGAGCCCGATGGGGCACTCGATCCCAGGACCCTGGGATCATGACCTGAGCCGAAGGCAGACGCTTAACGACTGAGCCACCCAGGCGCCCCCTTATTTGAAAATCTTAAAAAAACATTACTTTCAGATCTACTAGTTAAAATTTTCTTAAATTTCTAATTCATGATTACTATACATGGTTATATAAATGTTATATACAGTTTAAAAAATCCAATTAGTATGTGCTTCCTAAACACTAACACTTAGAAGGTGCATAAAACTAAAAGATTTTGGAACACTTTATTACTTTTGAAATACCCAAATTTTTGTCTGAGGAAGTTAAAAGCCTTATTTTTAGATACTTTGTTGTTTTGAGATACTAAAACTTTTACCTTGGGCAAGCTGAACAGTTGTGAGAGATTGCACTGGCTGATGCACACCCTGCTGAAGAAGTTTTCATGCTGACCATCATTCTAAATCTGCATATTTCATCTCATTCTTGAAGTCAGTAACTTGATTAATAAATCACAGGAAGTATAAAGGAATAGTGGTTTTGCTTGTTTCATGACTAAGAAGCTGACTGTGGAGATAGGAGTTATATAAACATTTATTATTTTTATACTACATTGTTCACAGAAGTGAGGATTTGGTATAAGGTAGATCTGTCTTGGACATCATTACAAGGTGCTTAGGAAGTGTTCAAAGACCTCATTGTATCCACTACTGGGTACTTACCCAAAGAATACAAACACTAATCCAAAAAGAGAGATGCCCCTATGTTTACGGCAGCATTATTTACAATAGCCGAATTATGGAAGCAGCCCAAGCGTCTATGGATAGACAAATGGATACAGAAGATGTGGCATATTTATACAATGGAATATTACTCAGCCAGAAAGAAGAATGAAATGTTGCCATTTGCAACAACATGGATAGATCCAGAGAGTATGATGTTAAATGAAATAAATCAGAGAAAGACAAATGCCATATGATTTCACTCATATGTAGGATTAAGAAAATGAATGAACAACAACAAAAAAGAGACAAACCAAAAAGCAGACTCTTAATTATAGAGAACAAACTGGTGATTACCAGGGGGGAGCTGGGTGGAGGGATGGGTGAAATAGGAGATGGGGATGAAAAAGTGCATTTGTTGTGATGAGGACTGGGTGATGTATGGAATTGTTGGTTCACTATATAGTACACCTGCAACTAATACAGCACTCTAGGTTCATGACCTTAAAATAGAAAAACCCCTCATTATGAAGTGAGGGACCCCAGTATGGAATATAATTTATATGGTCACCTTACCTATAAGTCATTGTGTACACCCTAGGGTCATACTATTTTACATACTTATTTGTGAAATTGTTTAGCAGTTAACGGAGCTGATTCTCTTTTTTTCTAGTTGGGAAGGGCATAACTCCTTGGTTTTGAGATTTTAAATGTCATATATGCAAGAAATTACCATGTTATCACTCAGATATTATTCCTGTTTGGGATTCCAAAAATCCCATAGACTGCGTCAAGTGAGTGGACCCAGAAAAGACCTCATCAAGCATCAAAAATAGAAATTCATATAGTCTGGTTGGGGGTGGCAGCTGATGGAGACACTGGGCAGCAAACTAATTCCACTGCCTTTTTATCACCAACCTAAAACTCTTTTTATGCTCTCTTCTTTCCATAGAGTCATCATTTGTTGGTTGTCCAGAACACCGTGGAAGTGGCTCAGTTTGTCAATAACAATCCGGAATTTTTACAACTTGCGGAGCCATTCTGGAAGGAACTCTCCTTCCTTCCCTCTCTGTATGACTACAGTGCCTACCGAAGATTAATCGACCAGTATGGGACACATTATCTGCAGTCTGGGTCCCTAGGAGGAGAGTACAAAGTTCTATTTTATGTGGACTCAGAAAAAATCAAAAACAATGGTAAAGTATTAAAAAATTATTAAATACAAGCATTGTAGGAATTTTAATGGGGGAAATAACATGTAGTTAGCTTAAACTTTCAGAGCTTTAAAATGTGACAAATAGAGATTAAATTACAAAGGAATCCAAAATGGCAAGAATCCATTATATTCTACTCAAAATTTTTAGGCTCTAAGAAAAGCCAGCCTACTCTTTTGGATAGTACCCTGAAACGTGAGATAGTCATCATCATTGGCTATCCTCAGAGGGTGTTGATTGGGTTTTTGGAATACTTTTTAACCTTATCCATTTCTCAGCTTAAGTAATATTCTTCAAGGAAAAGCTAATGAGGAATTATATTTCAGAAATCAAAATGTTTTAAAGAAGTATTTTGTTTACCTCTGTTATTACCACTCACATTCCTTTAAGAAAATCTGCTCTGGATATCACAAGTTTGCTTACTACATAATTCTTGTAACAATAGCTTAAATTTATCAGAGGCCTTTCTTTCTTTCTTTCTTTTTTTTTTTTTTTTAAAGATTTTATTTATTTATTTGAGAGAGAGAGAATGAGAGAGAGCACATGAGAGGGGTTAGGGTCAGAGGGAGAAGCAGACTCCCTGCCGAGCAGGGAGCCCGATGCGGGACTCGATCCCGGGACTCCAGGATCATGACCTGAGCCGAAGGCAATAGCTTAACCGACTGAGCCACCCAGGCGCCCTATCAGAGGCCTTTCTTACAACAGGCAAGTTACATATGTTAGCAATGATCCTCACTGCTACCCAGTGAGGGGGCCACTACAATTCCTGTCTTACAGACTGAGAAACGGCGACTCAGTGCTATGATAAGATTCATCCTAGGGCATATAGATTGTAAGGAGGTCTAACTGGCTCCAAAGTCAGCTGAGCTTTTTCCTTATGCTATGTTGTTGCTAGAATTGCCTGATTTTTGTTAGAACCAGTGCACACCACTGAGTTTATGATTTTTTTGACCTCATAGAGGAGAGTCCTCGCCAGCTGTCCCAGTGCGGGAGGGGAGAGGGTGATGTCTCAGTGTCCATTCCTTCTCTCCAAAGACCTTTTGGCTCTGGTTTACTAATATTCTAAGTCAAACCTTCTCCTTCCCAACTTTGTTAAGTTGATATTCACAAATCCTTCTCCATCCAAATCACCTCTTTAGGGTCTTTCTCTTCAGTCAAGCCTCTTTACAACCGTGGAGGAGAGTAAGACTTATTACATGAGATTCAGGGGAGATCTTGTAACCTTCCTTCCCTTGTGGCTGAACTACAATATTTTTCTATGTTTCTATTGCCTTATTTTTTTTTCCATTGAGCTTAATTTTTACCAATTAAGATTTAGCCAGAATTTGAACTTTTCTAACTTCCCTGGTTAGAAATGAATGTACAAACACAGGTTTTTTGTTTGTTTGTTTTGTTTTTGTTTTTTGTAGCAACAACAAAGGCAATGTTTCTTTGGAAAATTAGTCCAGCAATGGCTTAACCTAAATTCAGTTTCACTGTTCCCCCCACTTTTTTCCTTAGTATTTAAAGAAATGGAGAGAACTTTTTTAAAGCTTTCCAAGTTGGTCAAAGTATTTTTTTTGAGTAAAAATTTTACTCTTGAGCAGTTTCTGTTCTTCCTAAAAGTTCTAATGGAAATATAATTAAAACTGCTGAGTTATAATAATATATGCCCCCAACTGTTCTTTAAGAAATATTGAGATTATTATAGTAGAGTTAGCAAAATTATATGAGAAAAATATATTTTCACACTTTATTATTTTCTATCCTTCTTAAAAAATGCATTGGCAAAACTCTATTTGATAATGGATAGAAATTGTTACATTCTAAGGTTATGAGTCATGAGAGGGAAATGTTGGAAACCAGAGATGGTAAAGATATTAAAATAGAGAGATTAAAGCAGTAGACCTCGGGTTTTAGGAATTAATTACTGTAGAACCAGAACCCAGTTTGGGGTTTCCAGCAGGTGGATGGGGACGATTACATGCCTACTTTTATTGATTTGCTGTATGCTTGAGCAGCTGACTGTGGATGGGCCAAAGATATCACTCTTTGGGGTGTTCAGTTTCTGTTCCTTCCGCTGTTTCATGTAGAAATCATCCCAGTCTTCTCCCCTCTCTGGTCAAAGCTAATAGGAGCCAAAATTTGCATTTGAAAGTAAGTTTCAGACACATGATGCTTCATTCCTAGATATATACATGTATGATTATTTTGTTTAATAACAAATATCAAATATTCCTTTTTCTGACCCTTGACCCTTCTAGAGCTCTTGAGCTCAATAGTAGGACATAACCTCTTATCTCCATTCTCACACCTGGCTGCATCTCAAAAGGAGTTTTTTAACAAATGCAAAAATTAAGCACCTTTACAACTTTTCCCTCAGGTCTTGGTTCAGCAGATCTGAAGAGATGTGCTTCCTCAAGTTTCAAATTTTTCTTTACATCATCAAAGGGCAAATGCCAAAAGCTGGAAGAGGCCTTAAAATCAGATTCAGGTAAATAAGAAAGGGGCAATTTGCTTTACAAACTTAATCTCCATCCCTCTCTCTTGTGGCTAATTCCTGGCCTCCAAGGGCCTTTGAGATTTTAACAGGTGTTCTATTTTATGTTTTTTATGTATTTGGTTATGTTTGCCTCTGATCTCTCTTTCATATGTCATGGCAGTGAGACATCATGCAGAGTGGGAAGTTCACTGGTTATCTCTGTGCACTGTAAATGTGTCCTCAGTGTATCCTACCTTTGTCCCCTATGATGACTGCTGGCAATCAAGCTTAGAAAAAGGACACCAGCAGGAGAAGATTCAGTTCCACTCTGACATGGATGCTCAGTGCACTTTTTGGTGCATGCTGCTGCTGGTGCTGGTGCTGGTGGGAGAGGGAGTGGGGAAGGTGGTGTGCTATTCTTTGAGTGATTGAAAAAGGAACTGGAAAAATAAACTGATTTAGATTGTATCTAGATGCCATGTTCAGGAATTGGGATTTCATTCTGATGACAAGGGGTGCCGTTAAAGGATTTAATACAGGGAGTGACTAAATGAAAGATTACAAAGAACATTGTAGAGAAAGAAGAGGGACTGAGAAAGGATAAACTGATAGGATAAGAACCAGGAAAGAAGTGCCTGGCTGGCTCGGTTGGTAGAACATGCGACTCTTGATTTCAGGGTCATTGAGTTTGAGCCCCACGTTGGGCATAGACCCCACTTAACCAAAAAAGAAGAAAAAAATTAAGAAAAACAGGAAAAAAAATGAACCTGAAAAGATCAGTGATATTAAAAGTAAAGGAGAAGGAGAGATAAACAGAGAAATTCTAGAGAGAAGCTAAATAAGAGAAGGACTGGAGACTGACTCTTCATTGAATTTGGTGATTTCAACTTACTGGCCTTACAGTGAAGAGATTCTTAGTGTGGTAGCAATGGACTGAGTGGTACTAGAGCTTAAGTTCTCCCAGGGTGGTGGCAGAAATTGGGGCAAAGGTGAAGACTGACTCAGGTGTCAGAGTTCTTACCGAGGAAGTGGGGATTCTTGGGATGCTGGCAGATGACTGCAGGAAGGAGGGAGACAGAGGAGTGAAACCAGGTTTATTTACTCATTCACCTCCTTCATTCATCAACTGTTTCTGGGGCCTGGGTGGAATTTGTTCTAGGCGTTGGGGTACAAGCGGTGGCATGCCCAAGAGAATGCCTGTCTTCATGGAGCTGACATGACAAAGGAGGAGGACAGGTTTTTGAAAGAAAGGGAAATATAGTGATCTGGAAATAGAAATGAGAGTGGGAGCTTTGGGAAGCTCAGTAACATGAGCAACTGGAAGCTGCTCACTGATTTTATTTTATTTTGTGTTTAGCAAACACATAGTGTTTACTATGTGCCCAGCACACTTTTAAGTGATTTACAAAAATTAGCCAACATATTCTTCCTATCTAAGAGTTAGGTATTATTCATATTCCCATTATACAGACAGGGACACTGAGTCACGGAAAGGTTGCCCAAGATCGCAGTTGGTAAGTGTCAGACATGAGATTCAAGGGCATGACATTTGGCTTCACAGTCAGGGCTCCTCATTGTCGCACCAGGCTGATTGTCTAGGGGAAGACAGATTGCCAGCTGGAGCAGGGAGCTCACTGAGGTGTGGACGCAGAGGCTACAGGCTTAAAAATAAAATTAAAACTGATTTCTTAGAATCTGTAATTCGTAAAAAGGTCTGCCAGTGAAGCCCGCGATTTCTCCAACTTTAGTATACACCGAGATAATCTGAGGAAGCTTGTTAAAATGCTGATTACAGGGCTTTCCTCCCAGCTGTTCTCTCATACATCTTGGAGCCCAGAAATGTGTAGTCATTCCAGGTGGTTTGGAGTCAGGTCCTGCAGGGACTGGATGTTGTGACACGCTGCCTTCAAAGGGAGACTGTTTGCATATTAAAAACAGAGCTAATGATGAAGATGAGGAAATACTTGGTAATTTATTAAAAACATCAGGCTTTAATAATTTCTGATAAATGTACAGTTTTTGAATTTGAAAAATTTTATGAAAATTTTATGAAATTGCAAAATTTAGTTAAAAGAAGTGAACTGAAAATCACCCCAAATCCGGTCTGCAAGAGAGGAATTTCCAATCATGACCAGTGTAAAAATCAACCACAAATGGAGACAAAAAGATTCCTGAAATTATAGGGCACATAAATGTGGAAAAGAATTCAATTAATATTCACTGCTTAGAACACTCTTCATGTGTTAATGTATGCCTGTTAATTAATAGCTTTTTTGCTTATTGTTAGTATTCCAGATGCAATGAACTCCCCCCATTTTATTATGAAAAATTTCAAACAAACAGAAAGAACATAGTAATAAATACCCATATACCCACCTCCTCTATGTAACGATTATTATGACATTTTCCTGTATATAATGGACATATAATATTTATAATGTGGATTATTCAACAATATATAAATATTATATATTTAAAATATTTATAATTGTACTTGAACCATTTGGAAGTAAATTTCATGATGCTTCATCCCAAAATTTATGCATATATTTTCTAAGAAGGAATACAGTCTCCTATATAACGTAATGCTCTTATTATACCAAGAACATTAAGAATATGAACAATAATTCCCTAAAATCATCTACTTTCAGGTAATGATTATGATTTTCTTTTTTTTAAGATTTTATTTTTTAAAAGATTTTATTTATTTATTTGAGAGAGAGAGAGAACGAGCATGTGTGTTCCTGTGCATGCACAAGCAGGGGGAGGGGCGGAGGGCAAGGGAGCCAGAGAATCCCGAGCTTAATGCGGGGCTTGATCCCACAACGCTGAGATCATGACCTCAGCCGGAGCCAAGAGTTGGATGCTCCACCGACTGAGCCAGCCAAGCGTCCCTTCTCTTTTCTTTTAATAGACATTTTTTTTAAAGAGTAGTTTTAGGTTTACAGCACAATTGAGCAAAAAGGACAGGGTTTCCATATACTCCTGTCAGAAACTGAGGCCTCCCCACGATCAGCATTCCCCACCATAGTGGAATGTTTGTTCCAATTGATGAACCTGCATTGACACATCATGATCACCCACAGTCCACAGTTACGTTCAAGTTCAGCCTTGGTGTTGTACATTCTGTGGGTTTGGACGGATGTCTAATGCTCTGTATCCACCATATAGGATCATACAGTGCATTTTCACTGCTCTAAAAATCCTCCGTGCTCCACCTATTTATTTCTCTCACCCACCACTGCTGACAATCACTGATCTTTTTACTGTCGCTATAGTTCTTCCTTTTCCCGAACGTCATAAAGTTGGATGGGTTGTGTTTTAGTGCTTGATAGACTTTTCACTTTCATGTTCTCCTTTTCGTTTCGTTTGTGCATCCTGACTTACTTGATTTGATTTCTCCTTGTGTAGGAACTCAGCTCAACGTGCTGCGAGGGGACCCGTTTGTCAGGGGGGGAGGTTCAGGCTTCGTGTCTGGTCTCAGTTTCCTGGAGCTGGACAATATTCCTCCTGGGCAGATATTCCTCCTGGGCAGAATCTGTGACTGGTCTTCCCCAAGTCATAAAACAAAAGGTATGTCCTGCTCTGTTGAAAGCAGCACAAAGCAGGCATGTTTCTTCGCACTGGGAAAATGAGATTAAATCAAGGTGGTTAAACAGAGACAGCTGTGATTAGCATTTTCTGTATCCCAATTATGTTTTGTATAGTGAAATGAATGCATACATAATAATAAACAGAAGCTTCATTATCTTCTATGTCCATAATTCAATTGTAAAGGTTAAATGTCTTGTAAATACCAAGAGAAATTAATAACGAAATTTGCATATTAAGCTTTTGACCAAAATTTGATTATGTTTTCCTTGGTCTCTTATTCAGAGAATTATAGATTCTTGCAAGAGGAAAGCATTTAGGCTTGTCTAGTGTCCCATCAGATTACCTTTCTTCCTCTGGCCATGGCATGTAGGCTCTTGGAGACGTGTACATTAAGATAGAACAAATTTGTCTGGCCGAATTTTAGGATGTTTTATTGACACAGTTCTTTTATAATGCAACATATGTGCTTCTAAAAATCCGAGAACTAGGCAGAATTGCACAGTAAAGACCACCTGACTTATGGGGAAAATGGGGTTAAGGACACCAAACTCAAAAACTTATCTGTGATAACTCATTTAAAAAAAAAAGACAGACATCAGTAAAAACAATAGCATGGGTTTCTATGTGTTAAATTGTTAAGAAATGCAGCTACTACATTAAGGTGGCACAATTCCTAGAAAAAGACTTGAAGCTTGCTGGGTGATGGGAGGGCTGGAGCTTCTGAATGATTGTGAAGCGTTAGAAGGAGAGCTACCAGAGGACAGACAGCTGTAGCCCCAGATGTGGATGGGTGAAGGTTAGTACAGGCAGTGACCCTGATGATGTCTGAAGTGTGTGTTTGTATGTGTGCGTTTTGTGCAATCCTATCTTGGGTTGTGTCCACTTTTCTGATTTCACCTGGTTTTTCTTGTGGATGAAATTGTACATAAGAACACGCAAAATTTGCGATACGATCATAGTGTTCCCTAATACATCTGTCTCAATGCAACAAACTCACATTTTCAAAACAAATGCTGTAGCAGAACTGATTCTCTGATCTGTTCACTGTCATGGGAATCAAGCAATGTCCCAGGTGAAACTTGGATACATTTTACAACCCCCCAAATCACAATAGCTCCTTGAGTACCCTCCTAACACCACATGCACCCACTTGCCTCGGAATAAGGGTGAAGGGAGGAGGGTAGTTTTCCCAGCAGGTCTTATCCTGAAGTGCCACCATCGATATTCACAATGACCTATTTTCAATACCAGAGCCCCATAACAAATCTTGAAAAATTCGAAATTGTTGATTAGGGAGAAACAGACATTCCTTCTCATTCTCACCTCTGCTCTTCTCCACATCGGACTGTAACTATCATAGGTAGCTGTGCTAACTCACTATCAGTGTATGTCCACGCGAGGCCATGCAGTCTGTTCTTTCATGATGCGGTGTAAGAGAGCTCGGGCCGAGATGGAGGGAGATGTGGCTGAGTTTTTGAGTTATCCTCATCCTTGCAGTGATGTGCTGCCACCAACTCAGACCTTCACAAGAGCCAGTGGTGCCTATATCTTCCCAATTCCACGGTCATTGGCATTCCAGTGGCAACCTGAGATTGGCCATGGGGAGAGTTCTTATACTGCAGAAACTGGCAAATGCTACAAATCAGAGCATTTTTGCTCTTAGGAGAGCAGATTGTTAAAGCTTAGCCAGCACATCTAGGGTCTCCAAGTTGCTTTTCACTAGACGTATTCAACACAGAACAATAATGCCTATCTGTTTTATTTTTATTATTTATATTTTATTTTTGGGGGGGCAGCAAAACAAGGTTTATTGAGCGAGAGTAAAGCTTATTGAATGATAGAATGCAAAGCTCCCAAAGAGGGAGGGGACCCGAGAGGGTTGCCCTATCTATCTGTTTTAAACTTCTTCAGGGAAAAATAGTCACGGTCTCCATTAAGAGACATGTTAAGTCTCTTAGAGTCAGGGTATTTAATTGTAAATTTATTTGCACTTGCTTCTTCACTGTAATTTAAATGTATTTCCTTTTCTTCTGTCCTCTGCAAGGGTGGAAATGTACTGCCTTCAAAATAATCTTTCAATAACTAGAAAATGGATGTCTTGTTGGTTTTGAAAAATTTTATGCAAAATACTTCTTCCTTATTTATTCCTATTTTTCCTTTTGCCTTGCAAAGAAAGTGAATTGCTTTCTTTTTGTTTGAACAAGAAACAATTGGAATTAACATGAGTGGCTTTTCATTTTATTTTAATGGGGATTGATCCTAAATGCCAGAAGAAAAGTGTTCTTGCCTAAAACCCTGATTATTGACCATGATGTCTTTATCTGTATAGCTGACACCTTTGTATGAGCTGGTAAAAGAAGTACCCTGTGCCTCCGTGAAAAGACTATACCTGAGGCAAGCGCTTGAGGAATATCTGGATGAATTTGACCCCTGCCATTGCCGACCTTGTCAAAATGGTGGCATTGCCACCGTTGAGGGGACCCAATGTCAGTGCCACTGCAAACCATATACATTTGGTGTGGCTTGTGAGCAAGGAGTCCTCGTAGGGAATGATGCAGGTCAGTGTGCTGAATTTTTGCTGGTTATGCTGGACACCATGAAAAGGGAATCACTCTTTCCGTCTGGCCCTTGACATTGTGCTTCTTTGTGTATGGGCATTTTAATTTAGTGTCTCCCTTCCTATTTCACTTCTGGGTTCAAGCTACTGGGTCAAGGCCCTCTGTTGTCTCTGTTTTCCTGTCTTTTTTTTTTTTTTTAAGATTTATTTATTTATTTGAGAGAGTGTGCACGCAAGGAGGGGGAGGGGCGGGAGAAGAAGAGAGACAAAATCTCAAGTCAGACTCCCTGCTGAGCATGGAGCCTGAGGGATGCAGGGCTCGATCTTACGACCATGTGATCATGACCTGAGCCGAAATTAAGAGTTGGACACTCAACTGACTGAGCCACCCAGGAACCCCTCTGTTTTCCTGTCTTAATTAACAGACCCACCATGCCCTCCATTGGAATGGATTAATGCCTAATACACCTCTGTCCTTCCATAGTCATCTCATTAAAGTTTTGTCATAACATAGGTCTGTGGAGCTGGTGTATGCATAGCTTAACCTTTCTGATGGTAAGCTCTTTGAAATATCTCTTTTTATTTTATATTATGTTCCATCAATCAATTATTCACAAATACTTTTGAACATCTGCTGAATGTGCCCAACTGAATGCTTGGTACTTTAAGTACCTTAGTACAGAACTATGTGAGGTTGACTTTATGAGTAGACAACGTACGAGACAATTTTGTATTTATTTATGTCTCTCTCCTCTAGGAAGCTCATTTCTTAAGGTCAGAACGATGATTGCTTTTTTTATCCCAGAGCCCACAGGGCTTGATTCATAGAAGTCACTTAATAAATGTTTGATGAATGAATGACTACATGACTAAACTATGGTTGCTTATAGACAAGCATCAAGAAGGCATCCTTGCCTCCCATTCTCTTCCCAAGTGGCCTGTCTGGTCAATTGAAATTCCACCACTTTGATTTCATTTCTTTGTGGCTTGGATGTCCTGTTATTTGAGAAAATGGAAGCTCCCCCTGCTGGTAAGGGTTGGGGTAACAATCATAATATATCAAGCTATTATTACGCCCTGTTAATATGCTCAGGGGACTACTTTATTAGCTCAATTTCTAATTATGGAAGAAAGCATAAGGAAGCTCACGGGAAAATATTACAAAATTAGTTTAGTTTTGGCGTGTGTGATACTGAGGAGTGGGTCACACAGTAGAAATAGCTAAGGAGCGGTGAACATATCTGTCTATCATCAGGAAGTAATGCTTCGGCGGCATGGTTTCTGAGATCAGTTTCTAACTAGGAAAGCCAAGTTCTTAGACTATAGTGCAAGTTCTCTCTTGCCTCCCCCAAGGAATATGATGGGGGGAAATTGTAAAAGCACTGTTAGTGGTGAATTGGCCCTGAGTTGGAAGGTGGCCAGCCTGGGCTGAGCAAGTGCCTCTGGACTGAGGGATGTGGACAGGAGGCAGATGCATTTCTCCTGCTTAGGCACTTCCTCATTTAATAGTGCCAGCTCTGGGGTCAGGAGTAGGGAATACTCAGTAGATTATGTTCTCATGCTCCATCACTGCTTTTATAATAGAAAGGTTCACAATAGGAACTGCTGTAACGAGAGGAGCCTGGACTCCGCGGTAAGGCCATGTTGCTGTCTGGACGTGGCTCTTGGCAGCCATTAGGGCACTGGGCATGACGTTCAACCACCTTGTCTTAGATTCCACACCTATCAACTGAGAATGGTCACAGACCTCCTGCCCATCTCGATTCATTCTGGAGAGAATTAAATGAACGGTAGAATGTCTGTAAAAGTGCTCTGAAACAGTTGCAAAATAATAAACAAATTTAAGATATTATTGCAAGAAGCTCGTTAATGCAGCCTTAATCTGGACAAACCTAGTCGGGATGCAGAGACATTCTGGTCATTGTAGAAGAACTCCTGAACCGAGTGAAGGGAGTGGGTGCCCAGACCGTCCCCTCCCCCAGGAACCACCTGAGCGGGAAGCTCAGCACTAAGCTCTGAAATCTTCCTCTCCGAGGCTTTCTGAACCAGCTCTCTCTTATCTTACAGGAGGAGTGGATGGGGGCTGGAGTTGCTGGTCCTCTTGGGGCCCCTGTGTTCAAGGGAAGAAAACAAGGAGACGAGAATGCAATAACCCACTGCCCAGTGAGGGTGGGCGATCCTGTATTGGAGAACCATCGGAAAGCAGCCCATGCGAGCATGAGGAGCTGGAGCATTTGCGGTAATAGCGGCCGGACCTCCTGGCAATTGCATAGAACGCAGTGCCCTTGGCAGTAAGCTTGAGGCCATCTGGCCGAGGAGATCTGAGCAGCTTTGGCATCAAGCAGATCCGCCACCTACTTGCTGGGTGACCTTGGGCAAGTTACTTGCCACACCTCTAAAATTAGTATAATCATAGAAGGTAAAACAATGGTAGGGTGTTGTCAGAATTAAATGAGATTCAGCACAGAAAGTGATCAGCACCGTGCCTGGCACATAGTAAGCATTCATTAATAGTTGTATTACTTTTCAGATATACCAATCCTATTCATTCATTCATTCATTCATTCATTCAGGAGTAAGCATAAAGCCAGATGCTGGATACGGGCTAATATCAAGACTGATTAGCCCAGCTGTCTGACACCAACTTCTCATTTGCCAGGACCTTGCAAAAGCTATCTCAAAATGCTTAGTTGATGAATTATACCCATCGGTCAGAATTCTTCAGGCCACACCTTACTGTTTTACACTGTCTTTACTAACCTCTTTTGATCAGGAATTGGCAAAACATTCTAGTAAGATAATTGGAAGGTCATGTGAGTTGAAGAAAGCTATAAGATAGTTAGGTATCTGGTAGAAGCATAGGGAGGTGGGATGCCTTTTTCCTAGGTATTTGGTGCTTCATAATCCAACAATAATGAATATCTCATGACCAGGAGGCTGGTGAGCATATGGCATTATGGTAGGAGGAAAAGATGAGGGTCTCCATTGGAGAAGCCCTCTGCCAGAGTTGCCATATTTCCCCTGCCTCTAGACAGAAAGCTGGAGGGAAAGGAGCATCCTAAGGAAGGCATTGAAGGAATTCTCGCTCTTCTTGGTGCTTAGAGGGGAAATCTCCTCCTGTTCCACACAAAGAGGAAAATTACAACCAAGACTTCACACTTGTGAGTTTCCTCAGAATATGGCAAGCGTATAAGGAACTCAGCTGAGGAGGAGGCAACACTCAGAGGCCATTTGTCATGTTTTCCCTCAGATTTCAAATCTCTGGAGTGGGGGTAATACTGGTGGCATGCTAGTTTTGGGGGAACTACTGAAAACTATTGTTTAATGTTGGATATCACTGTGACTATTATCAGGAGCTTCGTCTAGAGATGGCCTTGTGGGAGGTAGAAAGAGCATGACTTTAGGAGCCTAACTGACTACAATGTGAATGCAGCCTTGATATTTATTACTTTATAACCTTGGACAAGTCATTCAAACTTCCTGAGCCACTGTTTTTTTCACATACCTCTTAGGGCTACGGTGAATGTGAGTAGAGATAATGCACATTTGTAGAGCGGCCGCCAAGGTACCTAGCATATAATAAACGCTCAATCAAAGCTCGTTACTATTTTTGTGTTACTTCTCTTGCAGGATCGGTGTTACTGCCTTATTTTTAATACAGAGTTAATTCTGTGTTAAAGGCATTTCAGAAGCAGACAGCAGGAGAAAAAGTAGGTCTGAGACAGGTGACCTCTAGAAATCACATAAAGTAGGTGTGTTGTCCAGTGACTTCTATTTTCTTCTCTTTCTTTTTGTTCTTCATACTACTGACTTACTAGCTATTTTTTGGAAGCTTGCGTTTATATTTGAGTCTTCTAGTACAGGATATGATCAGATAGCGATTCTGAGAATGGCAGTCACATCCACGTATTTATGTGGATGGAGTCCCTTCAGATGTAAATGAAAAACTCACTGTGCTGTAAAATATTTATTCTTCTGTGGAAATCCATCACATTAATTATGTTTTGTTTCCTTTTCCTTTCAGATTGCTTGAACCACATTGTTTTCCTTTGTCTTTGGCTCCAAAAGAATTCTGTCCATCACCTCCTGCCTTGAAAGATGGATTTGTTCAAGTTGGTTATGGAAGATATATTATTTTCCTTTACATATATACCCTTTGCTCCAAGTTCTCTCTCTCTACTGATGTCATAATCTATTTCCTTCTTCCATGACGAAACAGAGCTAAAAATAGTTTATATGTGCATTTCAGTTTAGTGGTTTGTGACTTTTCTTCTTTGGCCCAAGGTGATTAGAATTCTGCAGAAGGCAGTAGATCTTCTGTGGTCAGGTAAATTAGTACTGCTGCCCAGTGAAATTAGAAATGTAATCATGCCAGAGGGCTGCTGAACATTTCCATTTTGAACACTAAAATAGGAATCCATAAGCAAGTTCTTCAACAAAGAGAACTTTATTCTTGCCACTGAAAAATGTCTTTAAAAATTTTTTTCATAAATATGAGGTTTGGGATGAAATACTGGGTTTATTCCAGAAGCCAGTAAGACATTTTGCCAGTGTTGGTGAGATACGGGTCATTATACTTTGAGCAATTTTCTCGTTCAGGAAGGAACACAGGTCATCTGCCACTTGTCGTTCTAGGGCATTTTTTTGGCTTTGGGGCCATATTAATTCATGTTCTTCTCACTGCTTGTTATGATGAGGCTTTGGCCCCAAGCAGTGAAGTGTCTTTCTGGCTCACATAAGAGATACTGTCCATCAGGACCCTCTCAGTGCTGCCAGTCTTTCTTTCTCCACAAGGATTTGCCTTTCAAATTCCAGGCCCTTAAACATACACTCACTGACATTTCACTGAAGTTTCCCCAAATGTAGGTAATGGAAATGGAGGAGGTGTGTGTGTGTGTGTGTATGTGTGTGTGTGTAGAGAGAGAGAGAGAGAGAGACAGAGAGAGACAGGGGAATGAACCCAGCCTCTCTAACACTCATATGTCCCAATACAGTTACCACAATCGATAAAATTCCTGAAGGAAACATAGGCTTGGAGAACAAGGCCAAGCAAACTTGTGTGGTTCAGCAAATTGTGAACTGTTGTCCCAAACTCCAGTGCATGTGTGTCCTGTAAGGAGCCAGGGGTTCTGAACACTGCCCCACAGATGGGCTGCATCACCCAGGGAACTTAACAATAGAGATTGCTGCTTGTCCCTTATCTTCCATTTTTTTCTCATTTTGTATATTTAGGGTAGAGCCTGAGAGTTGTGTGGTTTTTTATTTTTAAGTTTTTACTTATTTATTTGAGAGAGAGAGTGAGAGGGCATGAGTTGGGGGGGGCGCACAGGGACAGGGAGAATCAGACTCCCCACTGAGCAGGGAGCTTGATGTAATGGGGCTCCATCCCAGGACCCTGAGATCATGACATGAGGTGAAGTCAGTCACTTAACCAACTGAGCCCACCCAGGTCCTCCCCCCGCCCAACTTTTAATTGCTACTAGTTGTTCTGATACAGAGTTAAGTTTGGGCACTGTTGAGTTCAACTTCCCCATATAGCAGTCCCCTTTGCAAGGCAAAGGGAGGCCTAGAGACTAGCACCTTAACAAATCAAGTGTCCTTCCCCATTTTCTTCAAACCTCGGTATTAACTTGGGCCCTCTGTTTCCTACCAACTCCCATGATGGAGCCAGCCTGGGCTAGGACTGACAGTGAAGAGAAAAAGGCACCATGGGATTTTGTTCTAATACCTGGAGCAGAACAGGTCCAGCTTCCAACCCTCCCCTTGGGGTCATTCCTAAAAGATGAGGAAAGGAACTAAGAGAAACCCCAGAAGAGCATGATCACATCCTTAGGTCTTAGACTTCAAATTCTTCCTTGCTTCACTGTGAAAGCTCACCTCCTGGGATCACAGGCCAACACCATGTGCTTGAATCTGGCCCAGTCCCAGCAGCACTTCCCAGACAGGGTAGGGGTTGGAGGGTGGAATGGGAGAAGATCAGCGTTCTGCTTCCTCTAAACGTCATCAGTGAGAAACTTAAACTTTCATGCACACGCTGATAGGATCTGAATATTTCTGTCTGTTCCTACTGGCTTTTATTAGGCAGTATTGCCAATGAAGAGTCCATAACATCTTAGTGTGAAGAATTGACTGACAAGTACCTTTCCAAAATCCAAAAACAAACTGTCTTTTCCTGAAACATGGGGGAAAGCAGTGACGTGGGCAGTGTCCACTAAAGTAATTTTAATAAATGCTTACGACAGTGCTTGGTATCTTGGGGACAATCAATAAATTATAGTAGAGTAGCGTTAATGGCTTTATTTCAATTAATGGTAGTACAAGTGTTGTTGATTAGGACCGTACAGGGAAAAATGTTTTTATAGATAATTTTCTAAATTAGTTATTTGAACTTAGTTTGCCTGATGATTCAAAGAAGGCATGATTGATAGGCCAAATATATCTAAAGAAACATTCTGTTAATGCACAATAGACATATTTTTTTCTCTCTGTCTCTCTTTCATTTCTGTATAGGATGAAGGTGCGATGTTTCCTGTTGGGAAAAACATAGTATATACTTGCAATGAAGGATACTCTCTTATTGGAGACCCTGTAGCCAGATGCGGAGACGATTTACAGTGGCTTGTTGGGGAAATGCACTGTCAGAGTGAGTGGCCTTGGCTGTAGTGTATAACTTAAAATGAGAGAATCATGGGGAAGAGAATGAATCAAGATGAACCTCTGCTCACTGTGTGGCCCGTGTCTTGACCTCCCTTTCCTGAGAGGCTCATATGATCCTGTCCAGGTTTCAGTTGTGTCTTGAAAAAGTCCTCAGCGCTCTCTAGCTGATAGTGCTCCTGTTAGGGGAGGCACATTTTACTGCAATTTTAAAGTTTCTGGTGCAAATTAGAATAGGTCAGGGAGCTCAGGTCTGGCGCAGACCTTCAGAACATCCTCTATAACTCAATTTCTAGGGATGTACCATCATCAGTGTACTTCTTCAAATGCTTTGGGTCCTATTCTGTTCAGATGTAGGCACCTGAGTACGTGCTTCTGCTAACCAAGCTAACGCTACTGTTGGCCTTCCATCTCACTCGTACTGCAGTGTAAGTTGGTTTGGTGGATGGATAGAGCTGTAGAGACATATTTTTCCTCTATCAGTTGGTCTATGCGATGTGAAAAAAGCCCTAGTGTACACATGTACATTTTTTTTCTCTTGGGTATGTATCTCCTAGTGAAATTTTGAATCATAGGGTGTATATACATTTAGACTTAGTAGATGCTACCAGTCTTCCAAATGGTTGTACCAACTTACATCCCTACCAGAACCTGGGAAGCCAAGATAGCTCTGTATCCTCACCAACACTTGACATCATCATTCTTTTAAAAATTTTAGCTGTACTGGTGAGTGTGTAGCAATAACTTATTTTTTAATTTGTATTTTTTTCTGGTGACTATGATGTCATGCCTGTTTTCATGTTTATTGGCCATTTGCATATCCTCTTTGATGAAGTGACTGTTCAACTTTTGGCCCCTATTTTCTGTTTGTCTTCTTCTTTTTGATCTGTAGAACCTCTCCTCTTCCTCTTTGTCTTTGTCTCTGTCTGTCTCTCACTCCTAGAGTCCTTGAGCAGAAATTACTGAAATAGAATATAAACATTTCCTACCTCGGAGTGATAAAGCCAAAAGTTAGTTCTTCAAAATGTTTAATGAGATGCTTGTGCTTGAAGAGCTTTTTTCCTTTATTGTGAATCTACTGATAAGAAATGGTCCCAGTCTTTGTTCATCTTAAAATGTCTTTATTAAAAAAAAAAAATGTCTTTATTTTATCTTTGTTTTTGAAGGATATTTTTATTGGGTAAGGAATTCTAGGTTAGCAGTTATTTTACTTAAGGCCTTTAAAGATTTTATTCCTTCCCTTTTGACTTCACTGTTTTCTAGTGAGACATTTACTCTGAATCTTACTGTTTCTGGTTTGAAAATCTTATGTCCAGCTACTTTTGAGAATTTCCTTTTTTCCCCAGTGCTTGGGTCTCAGAAGCACCTCCACTGTGATGTGCCTAGGTGTGACTTTCTTTGTCTTTACCGTGGTTGATATTCGAAGCACTTCTTGAATCTGGCTTTAGTGTCTTTTGTCAATTTTAGGAAATTCTTGACTATTGTGTCCTCATTGACTCTGTCCCATTCTTGCTCATTTCTCCTTGTGAGACACAAATGATGTATTTTTTAGACTGTATATATTACCTACATTCTTTTCTTTGTTTTACATCATTTTCCCCCACTCTTTGTTCCATTCTAAATGATTTTTTAGATTTTATTTTTTATTTATTTGAGAGATAGCGGGTGAGAAAGAGAGAGCACAAGCAGGGGGAGAGGCAGAGGCAGAGGGAGAAGCATGGGGCTCCATCCCAGGACCCTGGGATCATGACTTGAACTGAAGGCAGACACTTAATGGACTGAGCCACCCAGTCGCCCTCTCTGTTTCATTCTAAATACTTCCTATTGATCTACCTTCCAGTTTATTAAGTCTCTATACGGTTGTATATGATCCGCTTTTAAGAACTGTTGTGTTCTTAATTTCATTTTCCAATTCTAGATATTTAATTTGTCCACTCTTCTATACTTTCTTATTCTCTGTTGAAATTCTGCACCTTGTTATTTAATTTTTTCCCAACATGTTAATCACAGTTATTTCAAGGTCTGTTGCTGTTAATCCCAATATCTGGACCTGCTGTGGATCTGTTTCTATTGTCTTTTTTGGGGAGTTTGTTTAATTCTTGTCCTTTTGAATGTTAGATTAGTTTTGATTAAATGACAGACTTTATGTGTAAAAAAATAGAGGAATCATTTGAGGTTTTGGGTGATGTTCTTCTCTTCCTATAGAAAAGATTTGATTTTGTTTCTGGCAAGCAGTGAGGCTGTTTTATGTCTTGTTTACCTTTATTCCTAGGGTGTGGCCATTAAGGGATCCCAATAGAAAGTCTGGGATTTCTCCCTAGGTTCCTCCTTTGTGATGGGAGTAGACTTAACTCTTGATCCCTTAGTCCTATAAGATTGTTAAAAACTACCAGCTTTTCAGCCTCTGAGCTGCAGTTCCTCCTTAGTTCAGCAGTCTTTCAGCTTTTTTTTTTTTTTCAAACTACAGATACCTCAAGGAGAAAGGCATTACCAAATGTTGTAGACTTGTATCTGTTACATCCCCAGCAGCACACAACATAATTGGCTAAATATAGGCACTCAATAGATGTTTTTTTTTTTTTTTAAGTTAAGCATGTTTAATATATTTAAAGAAAAAAAAATTTAAGGTACAGAGATTATGAAAAATAAACAGGCATATTTGAAAGCCAACCAAAAAGAACTTTTAACAAAAGACAAACATAAAAACTGAAATAAGAAGAACCTCAAATGATGATTTTTTTTTTTTGAGTAGAGAATAAAGAATGTGAAATGCTTTATTTGATTTATTTTCTCCTTTTTTTTAAAAAGATTTTTAGAATTTTTTTTTACTAATATATATATATTTTTTATTCTTATGTTAATCCCCATACATTACATCATTAGTTTTAGATGAAGTGTTCCATGATTCATTGTTTGTGCACAACACCCAGTGCTCCATGCAGAACGTGCCCTCCTCAATACCCACCACCAGGCTAACCCATCCTCCCACCCCCCTCCCCTCTAGAACCCCGTTTGTTTCTCAGAGTCCACCATCTCTCATGGTTCGTCTACCCCTCCGATTTCCCCCGCTTCATTCTTTCCCTCCCGCTACCTTCTTCTTCTTCTTTTTTTTTTCTTAACATATATTGCATTATTTGTTTCAGAGGTACAGATCTGAGATTCAACAGTCTTGCACAATTCACAGCGCTTACCAGAGCACATACTCTCCCCAGTGTCTATCACCCAGTCACCCCATCCCTCCCACCCCCCCCCACTCCAACAACACTCAGTTTGTTTCCTGTGATTAAGAATTCCTCATATCAGTGAGATCATATGATACATGTCTTTCTCTGTTTGACTTATTTCACTCAACATAATACCCTCCAGTCCCATCCACGTCATTGCAAATGGCAATATCTCATTCCTTTGGATGGCTGCATAATATTCCATTGTATATATATACCACATCTTCTTTATCCATTCATCTGTCGATGGACATCTTGGCTCTTTCCACAGTTTGGCTATTGTGGACATTGCTGCTATAAACATCGGGGTGCACGTACCCCTTCGGATTCCTACTTTTGTATCTTTGGGGTAAATACCCAGTAGTGCAATTGCTGGATCATATGGTAGCTCTATTTTCAACTTTTTGAGGAACCTCCATACAGTTTTCCAGAGTGGCTGCACCAGCTTGCATTCCCACCAACAGTGTAGGAGGGTTCCCCTTTCTCCGCATCCCTGCCAACATCTGTCGTTTCCTGACTTGTTAATTTTAGCCATTCTGACTGGTGTGAGGTGGTATCTCACTGAGGTTTTGATTTGGATTTCCCTGATGCTGAGCGATATTGAGCACTTTTTCATGTGTCTGTTGGCCATTTGGATGTCTTCTTTGGAAAAATGTCTGTTCATGTCTTCTGCCCATTTCTTGATTGGATTCTTTGTTCTTTGGGTGTTGAGTTTGATAAGTTCTTTATAGATTTTGGATACTAGCCCTTTATCTGATATGTCATTTGCAAATATCTTCTCCCATTCTGTCAGTTGTCTTTTGGTTTTGTTGACTGTTTCCTTTGCTTTGCAAAAGCTTTTTATCTTGATGAAGTCCCAATAGTTCATTTTTGCCCTTGCTTCCCTTGCCTTTGGCGATGTTTCTAGGAAGAAGTTGCTTCGGCTGAGGTCAAAGAGGTTGCTGCCTGTGTTCTCCTTTAGGATTTGGATGGACTCCTGTCTCACATTGAGGTCTTTCAACCATTTGGAGTCTATTTTTGTGTGTGGTGTAAGGAAATGGTCCAGTTTCATTCTTCTGCATGTGGCTGTCCAATTTTCCCAACACCATTTGTTGAAGAGACTGTCTTTGTTCCATTGGACATTCTTTCCTGCTTTGTCGAAGATTAGTTGACCATAGAGTTGAGGGTCCATTTCTGGGCTCTCTATTCTGTTCCATTGATCTATGTGTCTGTTTTTGTGCCAGTACCATGCTGTCTTGATGATGACAGCTTTGTAATAGAGCTGGAAGTCCGGAATTGTGATGCCGCCGGCTTTGCTTTTCTTTTTCAACATTCCTCTGGCTATGCGGGGTCTTTTCTGGTTCCATACAAATTTTAGGATTATTTGTTCCATTTCTTTGAAAAAAGTGGATGGTATTTTGATGGGGATTGCATTGAATGTGTAGATTGCTCTAGGTAGCATTGACATCTTCACAATATTTGTTCTTCCAATCCATGAGCATGGAACGTTTTTCTATTTCTTTGTGTCTTCCTCAATTTCTTTCATGAGTATTTTATAGTTTTCTGAGTACAGATCCTTTGTCTCTTTGGTTAGATTTATTCCTAGGTATCTTATGGTTTTGGGTGCAATTGTAAATGGGATCGACTCCTTAATTTCTCTTTCTTCTGTCTTGTTGTTGGTGTATAGGAATGCCACTGACTTCTGTGCATTGATTTTATATCCTGCCATTTAACTGAATTCCTGTATGAGTTCTAGCAGTTTTGGGGTGGAGTCTTTTGGGTTTTC